TTAGCGCACACTGATCTGCTGACCTGGGTAATAATGTAGAGCATGCTTTAGGGCTCCCATTTGTCACATTATTGATATAACCATAATAAAGCTTTATGGATTCTTTACATATTATTACAGTTATATCACAGCTAAATGTTGAAGGCAAGTCAGACGTTTACCATCGTTATAAAACCCACCGCTAGCATAAGCGTTGAGCTCACAGACCAAGGATCAGTTCCTGGCACAGCCTCAATTCTTCACAGCACACTTTAAGTACAACAGTCCCCTCGATACTAACACGATCTCAAGAATTTAGCAATTCATATTGGTTTCTTAGTTTGACTTAAACTCCAAATACGAACAGCACCATATTATGTCAATATGAGCAAAAACAAATTAGTTCCATTACCTTGAGCACTACAACATGACAGCATGGCTAATGAAAATACTTAGCCAGTAAAACTAAAAGTACACATCACTATTTCCAAAACCATCAAAATTCCTAAAATTAAAGTCCACAAAATAAAATGGCTACGGATTATGTACACAAGCTTTCAATGCTAAAAGCAACTTAATGCACACAATGTGAGTTAATATGTCCGTCATTACTATGTTCTGGTCAAACACTGGGATCTCTCAATGCACACAATGCGAGTTAATCTGTCAGTCATTACTATGTTCTGGTCAAACACTGGGATCTCTCAATGCACACAGTGTGAGTTAATCTGTTAGTCATTACTATGTTCTGGTCAAACACAGATCTCTCATTGCACACAATGTGAGTTAATCTGTCAGTCATTACTATGTTCTGATCAAACACTGGGATCTCTCAATGCACACAATGCGAGTTAATCTGTCAGTCATTACTATGTTCTGGTCAAACACTGGGATCTCTCATTGCACACAATGTGAGTTAATCTGTCAGTCATTACTATGTTCTGGTCAAACACTGGGATCTCTCAATGCACACAATGTGAGTTAATCTGTCAGTCATTACTATGTTCTGGTCAAACACTGGGATCTCTCATTGCACACAGTGTGAGTTAATCTGTCAGTCATTACTATGTTCTGGTCAAACACAGATCTCTCATTGCACACAATGTGAGTTAATCTGTCAGTCATTACTATGTTCTGATCAAACACTGGGATCTCTCAATGCACACAATGTGAGTTAATCTGTCAGTCATTACTATGTTCTGATCAAACACTGGAATCTCTCATTGCACACAATGTGAGTTAATCTGTCAGTCATTACTATGTTCTGATCAAACACTGGGATCTCTCAATGCACACAATGTGAGTTAATCTGTCAGTCATTACTATGTTCTGATCAAACACTGGGATCTCTCATTGCACACAATGTGAGTTAATCTGTCAGGCATTACTATGTTCTGGTCAAACACAGATCTTTCATTGCACACAATGTGAGTTAATCTGTCAGTCATTACTATGTTCTGATCAAACACTGGGATCTCTCAATGCACACAATGTGAGTTAATCTGTCAGTCATTACTATGTTCTGATCAAACACTGAGATCTTTCATTGCACACAATGTGAGTTAATCTGTCAGTCATTACTATGTTCTGATCAAACACTGGGATCTCTCATTGCACACAATGTGAGTTAATCTGTCAGTCATTACTATGTTCTGATCAAACACTGGGATCTCTCAATGCACACAATGTGAGTTAATCTGTCAGTCATTACTATGTTCTGATCAAACACTGGAATCTCTCATTGCACACAATGTGAGTTAATCTGTCAGTCATTACTATGTTCTGATCAAACACTGGGATCTCTCAATGCACACAATGTGAGTTAATCTGTCAGTCATTACTATGTTCTGATCAAACACTGGGATCTCTCATTGCACACAATGTGAGTTAATCTGTCAGGCATTACTATGTTCTGGTCAAACACTGAGATCTTTCATTGCACACAATGTGAGTTAATCTGTCAGTCATTACTATGTTCTGATCAAACACTGGGATCTCTCAATGCACACAATGTGAGTTAATCTGTCAGTCATTACTATGTTCTGATCAAACACTGAGATCTCTCAATGCACACAATGTGAGTTAATCTGTCAGTCATTACTATGCTCTGATCAAACACTGGGATCTCTCAATGCACACAATGTGAGTTAATCTGTCAGTCATTACTATGTACTGATCAAACACTGGGATCTCTCATTGCACACAATGTGAGTTAATCTGTCAGTCATTACTATGTTCTGATCAAACACTGGGATCTCTCAATGCACACAATGTGAGTTAATCTGTCAGTCATTACTATGTTCTGATCAAACACTGGAATCTCTCATTGCACACAATGTGAGTTAATCTGTCAGTCATTACTATGTTCTGATCAAACACTGGGATCTCTCATTGCACACAATGTGAGTTAATCTGTCAGGCATTACTATGTTCTGGTCAAACACTGAGATCTTTCATTGCACACAATGTGAGTTAATCTGTCAGTCATTACTATGTTCTGATCAAACACTGGGATCTCTCAATGCACACAATGTGAGTTAATCTGTCAGTCATTACTATGTTCTGATCAAACACTGAGATCTCTCAATGCACACAATGTGAGTTAATCTGTCAGTCATTACTATGCTCTGATCAAACACTGGGATCTCTCAATGCACACAATGTGAGTTAATCTGTCAGTCATTACTATGTACTGATCAAACACTGGGATCTCTCAATGCACACAATGTGAGTTAATCTGTCAGTCATTACTATGTACTGATCAAACACTGGGATCTCTCAATGCACACAATGTGAGTTAATCTGTCAGTCATTACTATGTTCTGGTCAAACACACGGACCTGTTGGATAACATTCACTTTTGAAACCGAAGACATTGAAACTTTAAAATTACTTTCAACTCTATGGGACAAGAATATAGTTTCTAGAGAAAACAAATACAGCATAACAATATATATCTTCTACTCATGAACAGTCAACAAACAAAAGTAACAATCAAAATATACAGAATGTCCGTACCTGACACTTCTAACCATTACTGGATGTTTATATGTATTCAGAAGTGACGTCAGCACAGTGAAATCCTATTTATCCTGAGAATTCCATGATAAATTAATGTGTATGAGTTGGTTGGTGTTTTACACTGCTTGAACCAATGTTCAATCACCATGTCATGACTTAAACATCCTACCCAATTGGGAATCAAACCTGGGCTTCAGTGTGTAGAACAAACACATTAACCACTAGCTTACCCCTGGTCACCCAGGTAACTAAATCACTGTAACGGTCGAGGATCCACCTGCGTATAGGAAGATGTTGCAACAGATATTCACTCAAAGACTTGCAGACTAACAGGATTCACTGCAACCATGGTAACAGGAACCAGAGGTCTATGTATAATGGAGAGAAGAAGACCCACTGTGTTTGACAGTTTAGAGTAAGTACTAACCTACAGTGACTAGATAAGGTAACAAGCCACATCTGTACATAAACTCAAGGCACACGGTGTATGGCACTATCTTTAGCAATTAGACACACACATACAGATTTGAATTGTGCAAAGGAAAAGGTTACCAAAATCAGATGTTACAAAACTTCACTCAGTCTTTCATGAAATGCTGTTCTTGGAAGTTGAGAATACAGATTTTAAATGTCCAAAGGTTATCAAAAACAGTTACAATTTATTTTTAAAATATATTACATAAGTCAAATACAAAGTATTACAGTCTCATAGTTCTAAATACATTACACTGGTGGTGAAAGGTGAACATCAAATTGTAGAAAATACAAACTTTCTCCCTGGAAATATGATGTTCTGTTTGTCATACATGTAGTGTGAGATTCCAATATCCCAACATTTTAAAGCCGAGCAGTGCCATGGTAACTATGACGATAAAGACGTCCTTCACAATGATTGTTGCAGCAAAACCCTGTCCAAAACATGTGAAATAAAAACAAAATAAAACTTTCTACATGGAAGTATACAATTTCTGATATTTTCTGCAACACCTCAAGTAATCCATAATCTTTTGTCTGATTATCAGCAAGGTGTATAATTCTTGTCTGTCTTGAGGCAAACCCCTACAAGGTCATCGACTGTTGTTCCAGCCAGTTACAAAGCACACTGGGCGATGTCTTTTCCAACTCAATTCCAAGAAAATACAGTGTGTTTGTTTTGCTCAATACCAACATGACAGAAAAGATGAGCACTTCAAAGATGTGATTCACCACTTAAGGATCATTGGTAAAACATTGGTAAAATTTGACCTCAAACTGTCAGGGTCCAAATCGATAAAGATACACAACTAAAACATTTAAATGTTTCTCGCAATGGTATAATGTCAAACTGTATATATGTCAGTTTTTCATGTTTGGGGAGCTTTTATTTAAAGTTTAGGACTCTCCCTTGTTCAACACAAATAAAATAAAAGATCTAAATATAATAAATAATCTTCATGAAATGAAGAACACATCTATTGCACAACACTCTTGTTGAAAGATACTTCTATGAAGTACTTGCTTTGATCATTTTCATTCAAGATGGCCAGTCACTATGTCAATGAAACCTCAATTTTGACAAGGGAATTGGAGGCCACCAGGCTTACCACACCAATTAGTACATGATGGCACTGTGAATATTCCTGTTCCACAGCAATACAGCATCTACAACTGTCATATCAACTACACTGTCAATAGCATCTACAACAACGTCAACTTCACTGTCAATAGCATCTACAACAACGTCAACTTCACTGTCTACAGCATCTACAACAAGTCAACTTGAGTCTATACCATGACATAACCAGTTAATGATGACATACCAGTAAATGTCATTTCGCCATTTCAAAACAACCGACTTCATGACTTGAACATTATACAAATGTAGCTTATATTCCAGTTAGTTACACCAAAATTTCAACCAGGAACATTCCACAAGTAAACATACTGTCAAATTTTAAACATAGACGAGAATCATGACTTGTTGTGACGGTATTTCATAATAGACATCTGTATACACAGTTTGTCTGTCATTCATATCATATTTACAGAATTCTGAATTGTCAAGACACTGCAATATACACACAACAGTATTTCAAAATTTGTATCATTTCAATGGTGACAAAACATTTAAATACAACATTCAGATTATCAGATTAAGTACACTAGTCACATACACTGTAAAACCCCACACAAGTTTGTTCTCCCTCTGGCGAAAAATGTCCCACACCATAAATGATACAAGCAGGTTCAAACTAGCCACACTCTAACAATACAGCACGTCACATGTATTTACAAACAGCGTTTAGCTAATTACCTTCAAAATACATACTTGTTTTTAACACAATGATATGGGGGCAAACATTTATTCTGCCCTCACAGATTTGGACAACCTGCAGTAAATATGTGACACTTGGATTCCTATGCCCTTGGCACTGATCAGCATTCACGAGTGTACACATTCACAAGTGTGCGCATCTATTAAAATCACGGGGACATTCAGTAGAGCAATTCAAGTACTGCATCGTGAAGTCATGTAATTGGGAATCTTTCCTTATCTTCATATAGACTGTCCAAGGACCTGCAGATTTTACCCTCTTCTACTAACCGAGCAGGATCTAATGGCAGCAAACATCTTGTCTTTTTGATGAATTTAAAAAAATCTGAAAATGCTTCCACCTCATGGAGTCCTGTGTCAGTCAATCGGTTGTTGTGCCTCCCATTTGAAAGTCGGTAATTACCGCTCCGTGAATGTTTGCATCACCAGGAACAAAGGAGGCAGCCAACTCACTCAATGTACAAGTTAAAATACTTGTAGTTCTATTCATACAAAACACCAGTTAGGAAACGTAGGTCATCCCAACCAATCAAAACCATGGCAGAAAACAAAGGCTGGTGATATCCGTTCAGGGAATTCCTATTTAGTGTTTATTGAATCCAATGTACAGGACCAGCCTGGCCACTTGGAAGTCGTCTGCAGCATCTTCACCTTCCACAGATCAAGACCTCCCCACTGGCATATCTGTGAACCAGTCTGACAGATAATCAGCTTCCTCATCAAACCAGACCTGCATCTTTAGCCATTCCGTAAAAGATAGACTCTGTGTCTTGCAGAAGGACCTGGGGGTTGTCGTACTCTCGGATCTTTCCGGCATCCAGAACCATGATTCTGAGGAAATATGATGGTAATTTCATATACTGTTAAGACCAGAATGTAAAGTCTTTGGTGCCTTTGGGTGGCAAATTTGGAGATTAATTGTTCAAAATTTGATTTTCTTTTTCATGTTCAATATTTGCATAACTTTTGAGGAAATGGAATTTTTTTTATTTTTTTTTAGATAATATTTATTTTCCCAGAATGATATACCGTCATATTGAATTGATACTTGCAATCTATAACACAAACACAGCAATATATACATTAATAGTAACAAAGCAAGCTAAAGGTGAGTTCAACGTCAGCCTGCTGCAACCATTTGACATGGAATTCATTAATACACCCGCATGCTGCATTTGACCACGAATGTGTCCATGGGAGATCTAGACACCGATCTGGGGAAATGTCATGGGATCGCTAAGGCAGTTGAGAAGATAATTAGATGGTTTGTTTGTTTTTGGGGTTTTTTTTTGTATTTTTTGATCTATGCAAAAAAGCAACGAGAGAGAGGGGGGGAGGGGGGAGAGAGAGAAGGGTTGGAAGGGTTAAAGGGTTGGAGAGAGTACAAGAACAGGTAGATGTGTTGTTTAAACTGCAAAACAGCCAGACCATTTTCTCAAAAGGTTTTTATTATCTTCACCGAATATATACTTTTCAACATTATAATGAAGCTTTATATATTTTTTAGAAGATGGTTAAAATTTAGCTAAACCTGTAGAGGTTTCCAATTCTTTGAAGAGAGTTGTCCTTGGGGTACATATATGCATTTTCTGCGGCTGAAAATGTCATGTGAAATAAAAATCTTTTTTATCTATTATACGGCCCCCACCACGTGGAGTTACCCCCCTGCTACGCATGCGCAGCCAACCAGGTAAGCACCTAGGCCCGTATCACCATTCCTTCTGCTGAATAAATCAGTGAACAGAATTGCGGGGAGGTGGACGGCCCTACCCCAAGGATGACTCTCTTCAAAGAATTGGAAACCTCTACAGGTTTAGCTAATTCTTTTTCATAGAGATCGTCCTTGGGGTACATATATGCATAAACACAGACTCCCAAAGGCCGGAGGCCAGGGAGGAGGGAATTCTGTCACAGATAAATAGCGATCGTTCTTGAGAAAGTAACTGACGCCATAACACTCACCTGTCACGTGTCCCAAAGCTTCCGCGAGAGGCATGATGGGAGGGGAACCGACAGGGAGGAACGTAACTGACAAATCCCAAGGTGGGCTGGTAGGCCTGAGAGCAGGTCGATCCCGATTCACGCCAGCTAAAAAGCGCTGCAGAAGAGGGTGCTGCCCCAGAAGAGCACCATCGACAGGGGTGTGAAAAGTGGAAATAGCGGTGGAGTAGCCACGAATGGTCGAAGCCGCCAGGCCTTCTTCCGAACGAGCTTGAAGAAACTCCAATACTCAGACTAAATCCGCAGAAAAGGGATCTGCAATCCCCTTATCTGAACACCAGCGCGCATAGCAGGACCACCTATCCTCATATTGAATGTTTGTCGAATCCCGCCGCGAAGCCAGAATTGTGTCTGCAACTGCTGCAGGATTTCCGCGATGCCTCGAGGCTAGACCTGACAGAGGCCAGGCCACCCACTGAATCCTTGGATTGGGGTGTGGCACGCCGTTCTGAGTGAGAATGTCCGGTCGCAAAGGTAATAGAACAGCAGGCTGAGCCAGAAACCTGAGAATTACCAGAAACCAGCTCTGTGACGGCCAAAGCGGTGCCAGTAGCACAAGTAGCCGAGCTGGCTGGGTGGACAGCTGGGAGAGGACCCAGGGAATGAGTGGTAGAGGCGGAAACACCCACAGCACCTGGCCCGTCCAATCCAGCAGGAAGGTGTCGGAACGATCCGTACAACTGGATAACTCAGAATATCTGCCGGTTGAGCATCCACTCGTGCGGGGCCAGGATCCGGCGAGAGAGAGCGTTTGCTCGCATGTTCTCCAGCCCCGGGAGATAAACAGGAAGCACCTGACAGTGGCACTGGTCGCACCAGAGGAGAAATTCCCATGTCTCCCGCAGGAACGCTAGGGACACCGTGCTGCCTTGCTTCAGGATGTACGTCATGGCCGTACGGTTGTCCAACTGAAGACGAGCCACCTGGCCCTGAACATGCTCCCGGAAGCTCTCGAAAACCAACCAGTTCTAAAACATTGACGTGAAGGCGGGCCTCGTCTTCGGACCAGAGTCTGGACACCGACAGGCTGCCCAGAACACCCCCCCAGCCTGTGAGGGATGCATCGGTTTGAACTGTAAGAGCTGGCATCGGGACCCCCTTGGAGAGATTCCCGACATTGGTCCACCACTGAAGGTGAGGAGACAACCACCCGGGAACTGAGAGACACTTCTCTTGATCCTCCGAGTGAGCCCACAGACCCGCCAAAGCTTGCTGTAAAGGGCACATCCTCAACCGCGCCCGCCACACGATAGAGATAGTTGCCGCCATATGGCCCAGTAGACGAAGCCAAGTCCGCTCTGGTGCCTGTGGCTGGGAGAGGAACGAAGACACCATCTCCCGTACTCTGGTGACCCGGTCGGCCGACAAAGAGACAAGACCCTCTTGAGTTGTGAACCGCGCCCCAAGTAAAACCAAGTCCTGGGTGGGGACCAGATCGGATTTCTTGAGGTTGATGATCCACCCCAGTCGAACTAGAATGTCTATCACCTTGTAGGTAGAATCTAGGCTCGCTGGCTGAGTGAGAGCGCCGAGCAACCAGTCGTCGAGGTAATGGTAACAACGCCTTCCTTGCAACCTTGTGGCACTAACATGAGCTTGGTGAACACCCTGGGGCAGTGGATATGCCGAAGGGGAGCACCGTGAATTGGTAACACATCCCATCGTAAGAGAACCGGAGGTACAGCTTGAACGAGGGATGACTTGGCACATGGAGATATGCATCCTTCAGGTCGATCGACATAAGCCAATCGCCGGGCTGAACAGAGGAGAGCACCGAGCGAAGAGTGTCTCCATCTTGAAGGATGGAACCTCTAACTTGCGTTTTAACCCCTTGAGGTTGAGAATGGAACGGAACCCGCCGTCCTTCTTCGCAACGAGGAAGTACGTGGAATAAAATCCCGCCTGTTCCTCGCCTGGTGGTATGCACTCTATTGCGGACTTGTCCAGCAAAGCCTGGACTTCGTCGCGCAGTATACCAGCCCTGACCGGACATGACGGCACAGGAGTGCGCCTTATGCCGGTGAACTCTGGTGGGCCTCGCTTCCACAGTGGTAGATGGCCGACACTGACGCTGGATAGCACCCAAGTATTGCTGGTAGCCTTCTCCCACTCCGATCGGAATAGAGAGAGGTGGCCTCCCACTGGGACATGTGGTAAGAGCTGTGAGTGGTCCCCTGCAGATGGAACAGGCTGGGATGGACGGCGACAGCCGGCAGATCTAACAGGAGGTCCGGGCAGACCCCCCGCGACCGCGAAAAGGCTGATGGGAGCCAGACGAAGAGGCCTGCTCCTTGCCCTTACCTTTGGCGGGACGGCTCCTCAGCCTACCCCTGCCCAGCGGCCGAAGCCAGCCGGCAGACTCGGCCGTAGGCGGCGCCCCGGAGGAAGAACGGAAGGGCCGTGGACGCGGCAGACCGTAAAAAGTCGCACGTCAGGTGGGCCTGAACTTTGGATAGCTGGCGGAGAAGAACAACATGCAGGGAAACATCACCAGTGCTCCCTTCCGCCTCCTGAGCCGACCTTTGTATCCACCACGACCCTCACCTGCTGCATGGCATTCCGGTAGACTTCCTCATAAGTCCGGTAAGCCTGCTGTAGGGGGGGGCCCGCTAGGGCAAAAGGTGGTAGTAACTGCCCTTGATGCACCTGAGGAAGCCGAGCCTACCTCGAGGGCGACCGGAGTGAAAACACACTCTTGTCCACCACTGGTACAAAGAACAGAGAATCCTCACCCAGCTGATACCTCTTAACGAGGTCAGTAAGATCGAACAGGAGGCGAGAACCAGGAGCGGATCCATTACGTCCTGCACCAGGGAGGGCATGATGCGGAGCTGTGTCTGAGGGGGCTGCCGAGGAGCAAACACCCCACCCGGAAGGCGGAACTCAGTCGAGTCCGAGCTACATGTCGGCACCGCGGCTTGGGGAAGATACAAGGCAATACGTTGCCGAACCTCCCGTAGAGCCGTCGAAAAACGGAAAGCACCCTCCGACTCCTCTACCTCCCCAACCTCCATAGACTCGGCACCCGAGCCCGAGTCAGAATTCGGATCTCCAAGTGAAGAGCAGCCGAACCCCAACCCGGTGGGAGGCCGAGGCACGGACACCGCAGGAAGGGAAGAGCCGAAGGAACTCTCAGCTCCGGTAACCGACACAACACTCGAACCCCAGTCCCGAGACACGGGAGGAAGCCCGGGCAGAACCAAGTCCTCCGCTCTCTTGGGGCGGGGCGGCGCAGGGACAGGAATCCTCAACGGACCCTGCGCCAACACCGTGAGAGAGGGACTGGGAGCAAACCCTCCTCCTCCGGGGTAGCTGAGGCATTCGGACCCGAAGCCAAAAGGCAAAGGATCGACAGACGCCTCCAGGCCCAGGCATCGAGCCAAGCTCGGCGATCCCACCCCCAGACTCTCGGCCCCCCGATCAGAGATGGTGAGGAACTCCTGCCGGAGACCTCCAACCGACTCATGAATGAGGGACTTCACGGAGTCCATATGCTGTTGAAACAATTGTGTGATAACGGACATATCAAAACCACTAGATTGTGGACTAGAGTGTGATTTATGTGAAGACGCCCTAGATTTAGCCTTTTTGGCCTTGGACGGGGGAACCTCCTGGGTCAAGTCCCCTCCCGCCTCCCGCAATTCCTTGTAAAAAAGGAAGTCAGCCGCCCGTCTCTTCTGGGCCCGGGGGGAAAAGCCCATACACAATTCATAGATGTCAGGGTTATGCCCTGCCTTCTTCAGACAGCATAAGCACTTGTCATGTTTATCGGAGCGAGGGATATTTTGCCTGCAGGCAGTACACCCCGTAAACGCCTGAAAGCAAACACGCAAGCATGTAGCTAACGGCGACACAACAGCATAAAAATACACATACAAAACATTGAAAATTATGTGAATGCGACAATGCGAGATGAAATACTTGGTTAATAACGCAATATTTCCACTACGTGGCACGCTAAACTTCCCACCATGGAATAGCAACACGTGCATAAACCACGGGAAAGCTAGCGTAAAAGGTTAATACAAAGTCACATAAATGAGAAATAACTGACTGCTATGTCAATAAAACGTATCTCAAGAACGAATAAAGACCATACATACAGTAGTTGAAGTCTCAGACATTCTTCAAAAAGAAGTAACTCGGCTTGAATCTCTCAGGGAACACGTGTGAAAGCTAGAGTGACAGCAGAAGGAATGGTGATACCTGGTTGGCTGCACATGCATAGCAGGAGGGGTAACTCCACGTGGTGGGGCCGATAACAGATACAAAGATTTGTATTTATTGTACATTATTTTTATTAAAACATTGATACAACTGTCACATGACATTTTCAGCCACAGAAAATGCATATACGTACCCCAAGGATGATCTCTATGAAAAAGAATTAACTGTTTAAGCATGCATTTACATTTGTAGATGTAATTTTTCATGATAGTGCATAGGTTGTTGACAAGAATGCTTTCATTGGGGTCACCCAGAAGAAATGAAGAGAGACTGAAATCAATACTACGACTGGTTTCATTTGCGAACCAACTCAGAAAACTGTCAATTAGAAGCTGAACTTTATAGCATTTGTAAAATAAGTGTTCAATGGTTTTCAATGGTTTCATTTTCATGTTCACAAAAAGAACAACTTTGATCATCACTTTGTCAGATCTTATAGAGGAAAGATGTAGTTGAAATTATTCGGTGAAGTAATCTGTATTGAAAGTTTCGGATGGAGTTATCGATAGATGATTTCTGACTGACCTCGAAGCATTTTGACATATGCTCTTGTGTTATGATGTGATCTATTTTGCTTTCCCATTTGTTAACATAACTTTTAGAGTGACACCTGGTTTTGTTCACACAATAGTTGATAGATGAATTTACAATCATCAGAACAAAGAAGATTCACTATTAAATCACAATTTCAAAAATCTGTCATTTTCAGACCCCCATAAGAATAGTTATTTGTCAGCATTTTTCTCTTTATTTTGTATCTTTTACCCGACCAGATAAATCCAAAACAGCGTGGTCGTCGAAATTTCCCTATCACTTATGATAAAGGGATCAAAGGGATGAGTCACTAAGTCGCTAAACAAACAACGTGTCACTTTGGGTGGACCAGTCAGCAGCGCGGTCAACTTCAATCGTTCGGATTAACGCAGCTGTTTACAACTTAATTAGTCCAATCCGTTCCGACTGACCAGCGTTCGGAGGCGGAAACTGAATCATCGGACTAACGAGGTGTCAATTATATACAATATATAGGGAGATGATTTGGTGCCCGGTGAGTAGCGTTCGGAAGTCGGTGGATTCGGATTAACGAGGACCGGATTACCGCGGCCTGACTGTATCAAAGTATCTAATCGTTTAAAAAACGTAATATCTGGGTCTGGAAGGGAGGTAAAGAGGTGTGTAAACAGTGGGAGTAGTTGTGATTTTATGATTGTTACTTTTCCTCTTAAAGTTAGCATTCTTGTGGAAGGAATTGGAAATTTCATAAAATTTCTTCTTAAAGATTATTTTTGAAACAATGAAAAACGAGAAAAACGAAAAGTCAGGAACAGATCATATTAGCTCACCTGACCACAGCTGCCAACGACCCAAAACCCGAAAATATGATTCATCTATATTTCAATACAGATTTGGTATTCCTAAACTCAGCTTACAATTTTATTGCTTATTTTCTATTTTAACTGCAGCAACTTCTGATACTACACATGAAGTGCGTCTCTTGGACAGATGCAACACCATAAATATACTTCATATCTGTCGTTAAAGAACATCCAATGATAGCAGATGGTGTAAAGCTAAACAATGACCCTCTCTTTATGAAACTTTAGGCATCATAATTTTGTTTATTTGCGGCTTGTGATATTATAGATATAAAGAAATCACAGTTTTGGATTATAGTTACAAATTCGTAACAAACACAAAAATATGTGATTGTTGTGATCCATGGCTGCCTGTTTGTCTCGTACTCACTTAGAATAGTCCATGATGGTGTTGAGCCTGTGGGCGATCGTCAGGACAGTACACTCGGCAAACTCTGTGCGTATCGTTGCTTGGATCAGATCATCAGTCTCTAGATCCACAGCGGCTGTGGCCTCGTCCAGGATGAGGATCTTGGTCTTCGCAACAGCGCTCTGGCCAGACACACCAACTGTCGCTGTCCAACACTGCCATACAAAACAACTGTTGTTCTCATAGGTATCTCAATTGTTTTCTCACTAAATTCTACATCTACAATGATCTATTGAGATAGTAGGGTTGGGTATCGCCAAAATTTTCGTATTGCGATATATTGCGATATATGTTGGTGTATTGCAATACGTATTGTGAAAGTGTGACACATGGTTTAGCTCTTTCGACACCAGTCAACACCGAGTTCCCAGAGACTCTGAGGTCATAGATGAGGCCTATGTTTATCAAGGAAAATATCAGCTTGTAAAACATTATTACTGCTACATGTCATGCACCATTTGAAAGGCTTAATCCCAACATATTTATAAATATGTTAAATATAAATAGTTATTTTTTATCATAGTATTCAAATAATACAACAATTTAAATAAGTTAAGTTTTAATGAAAATGTAAGTTTACACATTATAATGTCTAGATAAATCACGAAGTAAGCAAAAAATGCACATTTTTTTCCATTTGTAATATGTCATTATATCCCCTTACCTTTTTCTTCTATATTTTCATTTTTACGAAATCATTATAAAGGTATCTGAAATAATATGTATGGACGACTATTTACCGATAACTGGATAAGAAGACTCGTACCTGTATAGTACGCCATTACTGCCAAAAATCGTGGCAACTGTGTGTAGTAAAATGTGAAATGAGTCAAATACATTCGTGACCAATTCGTGTTATTCCGGACAAGCCGAATAGCGTAGGTCACGGAAAGAGGCGAGTAGTTACGAATGGAGTAAAATAATTTCTTTGCAATTATCGATTTTCATTATTGGTTCAAGGATTATAAAATTATCTTTTTGCTGATATTTGTTAATGACATAAGAAACTTACTTAACATGCCTTTCAAGAAGTGGCCATGCTTGGAAATTCAGAGTTATCTATCTTTGGAAATATTCCTAGACTAAATCTTTGAAGGGCATTTAGAAGTGGAATGCATAAGAAAAGCAAGATAAGACGATGTTTCGGGAGTGTATGATTGCTCCTACAAAATCATCCTATTCTGAAAGGGTTACGTATAAAACCACCACCTTATGGAACTTAGTTGTCGTATCGTCCTTGGTTATGACCAGTGACAAAAATGCTTCAAGCATATATTTTAGCATTAAACATCGTGTGCAAGCGTGAAGTTCGAGGCGACGAAAGCCGAAATGTTATTTGGCTTACATTTCATGATCGCACTCAAAAAGATGGAAAATAGTAACTTATGATGTACATTGACAACTTTTATGAGTACTGTTCTTGATTTTATTCTTTAGTTTATTCAATTTGTTTAATTATTTCCTCGAAACATCGTTACTTTGCTCTTTGACAACTTTGATGTGGACCCGTTGCCGAATCGTCTTTTTGTTTTCAATAACATCGCGAAAATTGTTTATAATTCTAATTCTGTCAATAATATATGTTAATTGTAATAAGTATTTTCAGACATTGTGAAAAGTGATAGATTTAATAAGTGAATCATATGTAAGGTAGGTTCCTAAAATTATATACCATGTTGATGCGCCTACTGCCAGGCCGGTTTACCGGCCTTTCGGTGTCTGGGGACTTATGACGTCTTGGCCTTTTTTCCGGCCTGTGGTGTTGAATGGGTTAACTAAGGTAATGAAATTACTGTCTTCCTTTCATTTGAAACAATGCCACTGGCCACTGTCAGCACAAAGATGTGATTGACCAATATACATTCTCAAAACTATTAATGTATAATGATATAAAGGAAATACAAATCTCATAAGTATTTTTAACTACATCACAAAAATTACCGATCATGGTCACGGCAATTGCCGATCGTATCGGGTGAACCAGTTCGTGAAAAGTGTACCGCAATATATCGTATTGCAAAGTTCGAATTTCGATATACCGGTTAACCGGTATTATCGCCCAACCCTAGGAGATAGTATTACTTTTTAAGTTGGGGGTTAACAGACAGGATATGAATAGACAGATGGTTGGTGAACAAACCAAGACCCATAGTCTGAGCTGTATACAGAGATGAATATTAATAAGTAGACATTCATAACTGGAAAAAACAACAGGTACTGAAATATTTGTTGTGTCCAAACAATTATGACATTGCGTCAGTTTACATTTGAGTTCTCAGAACATGAATTGGTGTGTTTTTCCTGCCCTACCTGAGGTTTTCCCCTCCCTCGGTACACTCGTACTGAAGCTGCTCTGGAAGTGAGGTGACATAGTTCTTAAGATGTGCATGTTCCAGGGCCCGCCACACATCCTCGTCCTTGAACTGGTCGAAGGGGTCAAGGTTCATGCGGAGTGACCCAGAAAACAAGACAGGATCCTGAGGAAGAAAACAATTACATCCAGTGAAGAAAACAGTTACATCCAGTGAGAAAACACAGGCAAAAACAGATATTCCAAGATGGCCGTCTGTCGACCATATCTTGACAGTGACTGAGAACACACATACCTGAGGAATAATGGTCAGTTTTGATCGGAGATCATGTAGGCCAATCTTGGAAATCTCAACACCATCGATGGTGATACTGCCACCGGCAGACTCAATGATACGAAACAATGCAAGCGTCAAGGAAGACTTCCCTGCCCCTGTTCTACCCACAATGCCAACCTGAGAACAGAAAAAAAGCCTTCAGTGTTTATCTTTGGAGTGGAGGCAGCTGTAATAGGTTTCTGGCTCTCTGCATCCTTAGATGTATGTACAATATAACATACTCTAATTATAACCTACATTTTTGCACTGCTAATCAGATAAACACAATGACATTTTATTGAAATGAGACTTGAAATGAAGTGTTTTTAATACATCAAAGTAACCAAAGGAACCAAGCTACTAATTATCTCACCTTCTCCCCACTGTTAACACTGCAGTCAATTCCCTTCAAGACAAGGTCAAGGCCGTCTCTGTAGCGTGTCTGGTAGTTGTCAAAGGTCACCTTACCAGCGGCTGGCCAATCAGTGTCTGGCTTCTTGCCCTCTATCTCCCATGGAGCCTGATGAAACACACAAAACCCTGTTCAGTTGACAACAAGCAGTTGTCACTAAGGTGACATAATCCCCCCGCCACAAATTATCAAATCAAACTTAAAGAGTAATGAAAGTGAAGGTCGTAGTTTAAGATGAAGTTAAATGTCAACAAAAACATGACCAGTCAACCTCTCTTGATATCTTGCTAAGCTCTGTAGCTGTTCAAACACACAAATATTTTCAAGACTCACTTTGACTTTGACATGAATGTCATGCTGTATGAAATATTAAGCAAATAGTAATAGAGAAATTGCATATAAAAAAACAAGTCTTGAAAATCTATGAAGAAAATCCAGTGAACTGTTCTTGAGATATCTTGCTGACAATCTAAACATACTCGACTGGGCCCTGCACTTTCCCTATATGAAGCCTGGCGTCAAATATGATGAAAATCCAGTGAATGGTTCTTGAGGTATCGCACTGACAAGCTTAACATGCAGGCTAACATGCTGAAATCTTCAAAGTGTCATTGTGACCTTGAAAATTATGGGAAGGTCACCAAATCGACTGGGCCCTGCACCTTCCCTATATGAAGCTAAGTGTCAAGTATGAAGAAAATCCTGTGAACGGTTCTTGGGATATCTCGCTGACAAGGGTAAAACATTTAAGTTCCATGATGACCTTGAAATGAAGGTCAAGGTCAACAAACCTAGGTACTAAGTATGAAAAGGATCCAGTCAATGGCTCTTAAGATATTCCATTCCAAGTTTGGTGAAGAAACTTTGAACGGTTTTAGAGTTCTGCTCCAGAAAAGAGCACTACCACTAATAAGTCGAACTTGTTGCCATGGAAACGCCAAAAATGTTTTATTTAGATTTCCAAAACTATCAAAAGGCACCAGTACACCACCAGATCTATCTCTGTGCCAAGTTTGGTGAAGAAATATTGAACAGTTTTAGAGTTCTGCTCCGGAAAAGACAAATGTGCACAGACGGAGTCCATTTTAATACCCCCCGCAAAACGCGTTGCGGGGGATAATGACAGCATATACACCATCACAATGATGTTAAACACACCAGTTAATCTTACCTCAGTGGGAGTCTCTGTGTACTCTTTGATTCTTTCAACAGCGACAATATTGGTCTCCAGCTCGCAAGTCATCCTAACCATCCAGTTGAGGGTCTGTGTCACCTGTACATAACATTAACAGACCATACACCATGCTGGTGTCTACCATACACAACCTGTATAAGAGTCAAGAGAAGCTACACCCTCAATTACTATTAGTCCAAGAGCCACAGCTTTAATTTGTAAGACTGAAATTTTTGGATCGTGAACAATTTTACATCAGAATACATATTCAAACCTATTCTGTAATACCCAGAACTGCTATACCCAAACAGCTATGTTCTATTTAGACTAATGCTTAGTCTCTGAATATATATAATTTTGATAGTAACAAACAAGCCCATTAAAATTGAAAAGGAGCTCCAGGGAGACCAGAGATTCAGAACCTGAGGAAATCTAGACTTGCTTTATTTAGGGCTTTAGCACTGCAGAGAGGGCTTGGCAGTAGGGAAAATAATGTGGTTCAAGGACTGTGAGACAGACTATGTTCTATTCTGCAATACCTGGAACTGCTATACCACCAATAGCTATTCCCTTTTCTGCAATATACAGAACTGCTATACCATCAACAGCTATGCCCAATTCTGCAACACCTGGAACAGCTATACCACTGACAGTAATACTCTATTCCACAATACACCGAAAAGCTATAGCCCCAACAGCTATGCAATGTTCTGCAAAGTAGAATAGTAAAGTACTATTAGTTTTGCTACCATGGGTTGTTCTGCTATACTTACATTCATGGCATACGAGATGGACAGTCCTACAATGCCCGGGTTCAGACTGTCACGACCCAGAACAGCAAACAGCGACGCAAAAAAGATAATGCAGTTTCCGACAAACTCCAGACGAATCGCAAGCCACCTGTCAGAGGAAAACCAGTCTTGCATTATGTCACTCGTCAAAATGAATCAGGTTTCCGTGTGATGATAACTGAACAAAGGATTTCCTAAACACTCGACTGCCAACATACTTACTCAATATATTTGGCTAAAAAAGTATCATTAATACCATTAATTGTGTACTCTTGCTCAGGGGAATAGAATGAACAATTTCCAAAAGGAAATAACTATCAGAAAAGACTCTATCGTCAAGGAGACAACCACTTAATGTGAACAAATGGTTGATGACATGAGCACAATCCATACTGTTACGGTATAATGAGACGCAATCAGTCATGTTGACCACTGAATCTAACCAATCACAATTCACTGTGACTCTTACAGCCAGCATTGACAAACTGCAGGCTCCCTTGAACATAGGTGGATCCAGAGGGTTGGGGGTTTTTTGTTTGTTTTTTTGGCAGGGGGTATTAAATGATCATTCAAACTCTCGAGAAAACGAGTGAAAATTATGTGTGCAGCCCCCTTTTCTCAAGAAGCTGTATCCGCCCCTACTTGAATGGATCTCAAATAGATATTGAAATACAGGCTTGACAAGCTGAAACACCAACCATTTGCCCAAAAAGTGTCCTGTGCAATGAATGGACCAAATCATTCTTATTTTAGATCTGATACAACAGCAAGAACAGAGAGACACATCTCACCTGTTGGAGACAATACTTGGGTAATAGGAAATCTGGTTCTCGTCCACCTTATTCTGAGATTCGTCCATGAAGCGACTCTGTTGTCCAAAGGCTCGGATAGTCACAGCTCCAGTGATCGTCTCACCGAAGTGAGAGTATATGGGGGAACGGCTCACTGACTCTAAACGCTTCAGTTGCCGGGATGACGCCACATAAAATCTCTGTGACCAAAACATGTGTATATTGACTTACAGTAATAGGCAAGTTTCAGTCATAAGTTTTCTCAAAATGAGAAATACATATTTGAGTAACAACATATATCACATATTCTTCAATTATTTGAAATTAAAATTATAATAATTAACCTTTGAATAAGGGTTAGAATTCAACAATCAGTATAAATGATTACACAGTAAGAAATCAGGAAATTCACACATATTGAAAAGACAATGAAAAGATGATTGCAGTCCATGGTTTACAATAACTCTTATAGTTGTTCAAAATTACATTTTAAATCCATATGACAAAGGCAATGTTAAGTCTTTATTCAGACTAAAAGGAGGTGTTAGTACAATGCGAGGTAGTCCAGCAAACAAGGCAGTGTATACAGGGGTAGTAATATACAGAAAACAAGAAGCAGCTACAAAAGCAAATTGCTCGTACACTAGTGAAAGGCAGCCTGAGTCTACACAAGCACAACGAAACACCCAGTGATGCATGAAAGCTCAAGAAAGAAAAAGCAATACTGAGGTTATGTAGTGTCTAGCACAGTCTGAGATCACAAGACTGATTTCAGCTTGTAAGCTAACACCGTGACAGTACGATGACAACACGATGACAACACGACAACAACATGGAACACTTGTCACCAGTAAGACGTCATTATACCTCAAAACACATTACAACAACACTGATGTCTGTAAAGACCATATAATAATAATGACATCTATTATAGGGTCTCTGGTTGTAGGATTGTGAATTCAATATTTTGCTTCTTTTCTGTTTATTGAAGTTTTTTTTTTTTCTTGAACCATACGGACCACACAAAAAAACACATTCGTCAACAAAGTGCAATCACACCTATCGTGATCTTTGTGAGTTGGCAGCATTTCAGCAACTGCTCGATAACTGTTTCCGAAATTTTTCTGGAAGATCAAAGTAGCTGTGAAGCTGCTTATGAATGCAGTCTTGTATTTAGAATCATACTCAACTTGTAGACGCCACTCCGTCTCAAAGACCACAAGGATGAACAGCCATAAATAGTTGAACTGGTAAAAACAGTTACAATACTTCACAGGTTCTGGGTACACAAGTAGCGCCCTCCATCATCCATGTAAAGATACATCAGCTCCTTGTTCTAGCATAATGAAAGCAAGTTACTTGTACAACCGGTCAGCATGCAGGCTATTAACTGGGCTTCTAACCTAAGTGCCCTGACAGACTGACGGGTAAACATGCTAGAAACAGATTTTTGTACGTATTTGAGGCTTCTAAATTCTGTGTTTCCGAACATTGAACAATGAGGTTGCATTCAATACAACCAACAGAACTAAGTATAAAACCTCTTTTTCCCTATTAATTCCAATTTCAGAATGTTTAAAAACATTTTCTGCAGACTTGGGCATCTTAGCAGGTCTAGAGGAACCCCTAATATCATGAAATAAGTCTGGCAGCCTGAGTGAGTGAGTGAGTAAGTGAGTTTAGTTTTACGATGCTTTTAGCAATATTCCAGCAACATCACGGCAGGGGACACCAGAAATGGGCTTCACACATAGTACCCATGTGGTGAATCGAACCCAGGTCTTCGGCGTGACGAGCAAACGCTTTAACCACTAGACCTCCCCACCACCCACCCCTGGCAACCTGAAGCCCATCTACTCAATACACTGTTTCATTATCAGACCATGGTAGAGTTCAAATAGCTATCACTCACTGGGAGAGACGTTTGACTGGGGTTATCAGCCTTATTTCACTCCTTGGCTTCACTACATATACACTGCCCAGTGGCTGCATGTAGTCGTGGATGATGGAGGAATGTAATGTCCACGAACATGTGACGTACAGACACTGACAAGAACACATACACCAAGCATGAGAAATCTTGTTAGAACCTTCCTATCACTGTTTATCATGTGTACAATTCAAGAGTACTATCTCTATCACATCAATGCTATAAGTCATGTATTTGTGGCTGCAGTCATCCTAAAACCAAAACTTCAGATTTTCAACAGTCAACCATACATAATTAGTTTTTTTTTACAATACCATCTTAAGTCTACAGCTACTTTTATGTGCAGAAGGTGGGGAAAACCTCATTTCCTCCCCTGGTGTGCTTGGGGTAACTTCACGGTTGCTGCTCCTCCCTCAACCAGCACTTGGTATTATAGTAACACTATCACCAGTCCATTCAGTTCATAGTCTCCTATTGACCCGTGAAGGTTCGAGTTAGAATTGGTCTTCAGTAACCCATGCTTGTCTTAAGAGGCGACTAACGGGATCGAGTGGTCAGGCTCGCTGACTTGGTTGACACATGTCATCGTATCCCAATTGCGTAGATCGATTTTCATGCTGTTGCTCCCTGGATTGTCTGGTCCAGACTAAAACACATCACCGCCATATAGCTGGAATATTGCTGAGTGCGGTGTAAACCTAAACTCACTCACTCACTCACACACAGTCTCCTGTTACCACTTATAGCTGGCACATCAGTACCTAATGGTGGCATGACGTTGGGTGTAAACTCAAAATGGCATCCTGTCTACAATACAGCCGATTTATGCTGGCAAGAAGGTCCAAGAAGGGTCTTTGCAGAACTTACAAAGGCAAGACAGAACGAAGCTGCCCAAAAGAAAGTCAACTATGCTTTAGCGATTCCCGAATCACTGCTTGGAAACGTAAGTTTTCACAACACGTTGCAGAAGTTACCAGTAGAGGTTATAGACAGATCGTCTTATCAGCAGTACTGGTTCTGGGCCCCGTTTCACAAAGTCCTCGTAGCTCTACGACTATGGTAAGTCAATGTTACAGTATAGGACGTAGGAATGCTACGAGGAAAGTTACGAGATCTTAGGCTTACGAGAGCTTTGTGAAACGGGGCCCTGGACGGGACACATTCAGTCATGGTGCAGCCACCCCACACTGGATCTACTACAAATTACTATATTAGATATAGCTATACAGAATCCGTTAACCCAACTGCCTCATAGGCAAATCATTCTGGAGTCTTGGACTTGTTGCTGCTGATTATTAAGCTTAATTTATGGGCCATACACACTACCCAGACTAGCCAAACTCTCGGTACTGCTTGGAATCCCAGCTGGACATGGGACACTTGCAAGATTCCAATCAAGATAATGATGACTCTGCAGGAATATGGTTTGGGTTTCAGTTTGGTTTGGTTTTAGTGTGACTGTAACCACAAATACGTTTACATGATTTATGGCAATGATGAATAGACCTAGAAGTTTCATAAGAATTACAGCATTAATTCTTGGCAATAACACACAAATCCAACATTTAGTATGAGGAGGCAATTTTAATATTTTCATCTGTCCGTGTCAATATAGCCATATTCACTCTCTGATTCCAAAATAACAAAAACGTTTTTACATGCAAAACAATTCATGGATAGGTAGTTTATGTTGACGAGGGATTTTAATCCCCATCAATGAAAAGTACCACGTTTCTGTTAACATGAGTTACGTATTTCTGGAAGTGTCTCATTGACCTACATAGTCCTGCTGCAAACACTGCACGGTGGAGGGTCGATGATTCATGAGACGTACTTCGCGCAGACAGCAACTTCACATAAGATACAGGCTGTGTAGGAGAGTAAAAAAGTATGTGATTTGAAAGTGATTATTGCAATGAGTAAGTGAATCTCTGTTCAGGTATTTCTTGGAATATTTCAGAAATCTGATGGCTGGGGTTTTTTTACATAAGCAACACACCATGTGCCTATAATGGGGCACAATGTTGTTTGGTGTGAAGTTTGGACGAGTTAACCACAGGCGGATCCAGGTAACCTGGTGTTTGGGGAGAAGAGTTGACACTTTAACCAAACACTGTGCCCATGTGAGGTGCCCTGATCTTTGGGGTAAGAGTGGATGCCTTATCCACACATTGTGTCTACGTAGGGTACCCTGGGGTTAAGCTTGGTTTTTGCAGTGATGAGTGGTCAGCTGATCCACAAGACAATGTTACCAGTACCCTCCAAGATGTTCAAGGAGATGGAAGTCGTCATTTCTGTTTATGCAGTGTGTTGAGGGATGTTTAATCATGCAATATATCGAAAATAGCCATATCTCTCAGAAAACTATACTCTAACATTTTGCACCCTTCAACTAATAACTAGAGTGTAATTTAGAAATTGTGTTAGAAAATATGCAAACATAAAACAAAAATGAAAAGCAAAGAAAATGTGAAAATAACTTTAAAATGATTAAAAAGCCATGCACCATTGATAAAAAAATACAACAACCATGCAGCATGGCACTGGAACAAATGCACAAAGTCAATCCAAAATGCAACCATAATGATTAGAGAAGCAACTTTCAAACATTCCCAGCTACTTCCCACACTACAAATTACCTGTAAAAAGTAATAGAGAAACATCAGAGGGATGATGACAACGAGAAACAGCTGCGTGCTGATGGATATGACAATCAGGGTGCTTATCACATGGAGGAGGCAGTACAGCCACATGTGAATCACTGAGGGGATGGTCACATCAACGCCATCCACGTCCTTGCTGAATCGGTTCACAATCCGACCCAGAGGGGTGGTATCAAAGAAGTTCATGGGTGATTTCAAGATGTTCTTTAGGAAACTCAAATGCAGAATTTTGGATGCATCTCTGGCCCCAATTGTACGAATCAGAGTTCCCAAAAATATGAAGACACCTGCAGAAATTAAATATGGATGCAATGTTAGTAGAGTTATGCTTTATACTCACAGGTGTAACAATTAACTGTTTGTTGTACTGTACTTAACAATCTTTGTGTTTTATAACAGCTGAACACAATTAATTGAATCTGGACCATTAAGAAATGTGATGGGCTTCATCAGCATCCATCTACAACCATAACGGTGATGTTATCAACAAATACATCAGGCCTGACGGTCAGATCAGCTATGTCACCTGTTACAACCAGGTCACCAGGATGTATTCTAACCTGGAATCCCTACAACCTGCATAGTAGGTCTAATTCAAACCAGAATCGCCATGGATAAGTTAAGTCACCTCCTACAACCTGCATAGTAGGTCTAATTCAAACCAGAATCGCCATGGATAAGTTAAGTCACCTCCTACAACCTGCATAGTAGGTCTAATTCAAACCAGAATCGCCATGGATAAGTTAAGTCACCTCCTACAACCTGCATAGATTGATAGGGAATACTTCTTGCTGAAATCCTGATGGATCCTTTGGTCACCTCGTACAACCAACAAAGCTTGCAGGTGACCCAGAATTCCCCTCCCCACCCCCAATATGTTCAGTCGCCTCTCATGGCCAGTTAAGAATACTGAGGACCAAGTCCTGAGACAATATGGGCGTTCATTTACTGTCAGCATATGCTGATGATGGGTACTGTTTCTCATACAACATTTATAGTCGCAAGCAGAAAGTCTCCAGAAATACCAAGCACCTTTACAAAACCATCATACATTTTGTCATTTTGTATAGCATCTGTAATTTTGAATTTTTTAATGACATTATCTGCCAAACATTGGCATTTGAGCAGTTCTCACTTAATCCCTCCTAAAACAAATCCACGATAACTGTTGACACACATTCACATCTGACGTCACTTCCAGTTTGTGGAATAATAATAATCTTACTCACTGATATTGCCCCTTCCTGATCAAATCCAAATGTTATTCGAGGTTTCCTCTCCACATTCCTCAAACAGTGCATTTCATATTAACTTTGTAAGCCTTAAGCATTAAGGTAATGGCTTTTGGATACTGAGGCCATTAAATAAGCACCTGGTTAAAAAGGCATAGGTTAGGGAAAGAATGAATACCAACAGAGGTACGCAATGTTTCAAAGATTAATGTCTTCCATTCTGAACATTTTCCTTTGTCACATGATGATTTCCCCCCGAGCTCCAAGTTCCTTACTAACAATGAACAATAAAATTCCAAACAGCTTCCACTATCACAGTGGACCTAACTCTGTGTCAATACCGAATTAGCTCGGACCTGCAATCATCTTGACAAGACATGGATGACCTTCACACTCAACTCAGTCCTACCTGGATGGGAACATAGACAATGACAACAACGGGGATGGCAACAGCCACAAGGGGTGTCGTGTACAAGATGATGACAGATGATCCTACAGCACCCAAAATGACATTCAACATTGACCTTATTGTGAAGGGCAATACAAGGTCAAGTTCAGCAATGTCATCAGAACATCTGTTCATGATTCGGCCAGTTGGTGTCTGGTCAAAGTATGAGAGTGGGGTGTTGAGCAGAGACACGATGACATCATGATGTAGATTCCGAGAGGCAGCAATTCCCGAAATCTGAGTCGCCAGCGCACATGCCATTATCAGCAGCCCTGAGGAGACAGGAACAAGGGCATAGTATTTACCTTGTACTCCATATAATATCAGTCTCCTAAAATGATTAGTTACCTAGTGAAGAAACAGTCAAACTGCAGAGAACGGTGATGAAATCAGTGTTGTGATGCCAAGTACCACATGAAAGTACCACACATGGTCAAACTCTCCATGAAAACCAGTCGGCCCACATGAAAGTACCACACATGGTCAAACTCTTCATGAAAACCAGTCGGCCCACATGAAAGTACCACACATGGTCAAACTCTCCATGAAAACCAGTCGGCCCACATGAAAGTACCACACATGGTCAAACTCTTCATGAAAACCAGTCGGCCCACATGAAAGTACCACACATGGTCAAACTCTCCATGAAAACCAGTCGGCCCACATGAAAGTACCACACATGGTCAAACTCTTCATGAAAACCAGTCGGCCACGAAAATACTATGACAGACACAGCACGATGTACATGAACAAAAACTACAAATGGATCTGTATATCTTCAACCTGTCACAACAGGCTGAAGCAGATTAGTATCAGCATAAAAAGTGTGCTTGATGTGGTCATATTTTGAACGTCTCCTTGTCAGTGACAACCTTCAATGAAACACAGCATCAGGACCTGATACTTCCACAAGGTAAGTTCGAGGAGTTGGTGTCTCTGCTCCAGTTAGAACGGATATGTGAGTGAGTGAGTGAGTGAGCTGGTAGGTGGCTGGGTGGGTATGAGATCTATCTGTCTTTAAGTATACTGAAGCCATATCGCCAAAGGACACTTATGTCACACTCACTGGTATCAGTGTTAGCATATCAGACATGGAAACAGGTTTTAATAACATATGCATTCAGCATTGCAGGTGCTGAAATGATAAAATTTCAGCACATAGCAGGGGAAAACCCATTTGAGATAACTGGTGTCAAACCTAAGTGTTTGACTGAGTTCCATGCCCGTGATTGGCTACTCCATGGTGATGACTTAATGTCAGAGATGACAGACTCGATATGTTGCTGGTTATAGGTTTCTTGTGTTTTAGTCAGAACCCATCAACTTCTAAGTTGAATATTTGCAGTTGACAAACCTTCCCTGTATGTCGTGTGATATCAAACAGAAGCACAAGCTATTAAATGTCTCCAATATTGAAGCTGGGTTTTACATGTTTGACTAAAAAAGAAACATGGATACATGGTTACATACCGTTTGAACCTTTACCTAAAAAAATCGAACGATTCCGAAAGGTATTTTCCGCGCGATCGCTTCCAAGTGATACACATGGAGGCCGCAATGAGTAAATGAGTAAACAGTCAATGAACCTAGCGTTTTTGTCAATATTCAAGGATGACATCTTGCGGAAATATAAGCTAATGAAATACACAATGCATATGAGCTAATGGTAACCATGTCATTAGAAACACCTAAGCATATACTGCAGGTCAAATATATGTGTTTTATGCGGAGTTTCATTTGTTGACAGATCAGTGTCAGCGTCCAGGGAAGAGAAAATCAAAAAATTTGTCCATCTCGCATTTGATTGGACGGCCATAGGTCGCTCAAAGGTTAGCTGACGCGACCTGCTACTAGGGTTTGTTAGCCTCAGTATAGCAGTGTAATGAATAATACTGAGTTTACTGAGACTTAGTCGTAAGTGTAAAAGAGTTCAACTAACTAGTTTCCCTGGAAGAGAAATGAGGATATCATATGAAAGTGAGTATGTGAGCTGGGATAAAAGCATAAGTACTTGTTAGATACATGAAGCAGTTACAGTTTGCTTAGCAGAAGATGATGCCAATCTTCCCCTAACCATGCAATACATGCAGCAATTGAGAGAGGTGTACACTGATGCCTTTACATAACATTGTCAATATGCAGTGTCGTGCAGTGTCGTGCCAGTAGAGATGTCTGGGAGTCAATGTCCCGCAACATTGTGTTTCAATATAAGATGCATCAGGGGATACCAGTTTATTGGGAATCAAACGCAGCCATTTAAATGGGACACCTGACCACAGTTACCGATCAGTTTTCTTGCATTAATAGTTTCAACTATTGTGAAAATAAAGAAGTTGATCATCCATAAAATGTTGTCATCTCTATACCACCAACATGTTGAATTCACACAACATATGAATTTGTAAAATGCCACCAGCTGAATGTTGTCCTACATAGTACAACCATGTTTGTCATATATAGATTTACAGACAGTCAAAATCCAAAGTCATCTGGTATAATTTTTTTATCCCAATTTTGTTTTTGTGGAAAGTGTTTGAATATCACAACACTATCATAAGCCTGAGTCCAGTAAAATCCTTTATAATCTATTAGAATCAGTTAACAAACTTGATGCTCTGAGCCAAAATCAATCTACTGGAGTTTGGCATACACAGTAGCTATTAACTACACAAATTAACTCAAAAGGTTCAAAACATGGTAGCCTATCAATGTACACCTCCCAGCCAATCACTGTCTGCCCTTGTCACCTGACCTGCACTATCATGTAGAGGAAAATCAGAGGCAGCATAACGCTAAGGAACAATGGCGTTGTCCAGCTGATGATGAAAACCACAGCCATAACATCAAACATTCGGGTGATGAGGTCATTTATCGTTGGTGACAGTAAAACATCTACAACATCAATGTCCTTTGCGAATCGATTGAGAACCCGCCCAAGAGGAGTAGTATCAAAGAAGGACATGGGAGAGGCGAATACATTGTCCAGCATAGCACTGTGCAGGATCCGCCCTGCATGGATATGGCCCAGGTAGAGCCCTACACTTGCAATATACACGTTGATACCTGAAACAAAGCGTGATCAGTTACGTGGACAACATTGAAATGTCACCTGGGATGTACGTCAGAGCTGCCAACTAGTATTTTGTTACGGTATTATAGTCAATACACCATAGCCCAAGTTACAATTAGTATCTGTTAACTTCCTGTAGACTGAGCACCACACTCCGATGATATTGTACAATACAGCCAAGTGGCTCCTACCTCAGGTGACACATGTATTGTGTAGTTTGTATTATGACAACTGAAACTGCCAGTAATGAGTAGTGGGTCAGAACTGGACAGATGCAACCCTATATACAGACTTGATAAACTTCAGCTGATAAACAAAATGTATTCCTAGCAGATATTGTAAGGCTACACATTGACCCTCTCTTCATGAAAATTTAATCGCTGTGATTTCTATTTCCCTAAATAGCCTATCATTCATATGAATTAAGAAAGAAATTGTATTTTCATATTTTAGTTGCAAATTCATAACAAACACAAAACATTTGGGAAGCCTATGGGTATCAGTTCTAGAGGAACACAGATTAGCAATGGCATGACTTTCTCACGTCATGGTAACCAATGATTCCACAGTGTTCTGCAAAGCGTGGTGCTGAAATTTCATTGCGGCGACATCATCCAGGAAATATTACTACATGTCACCCAAGCAATATTTCCTGATGTTTTGGAAAACACATCATATGACATCATGCTTTATTTGAAGTGAGTTTGAAAGGTACTTCAATCATATGTAGGTGTGTCAGTCACTTGTAGGAGGAAAGGCCCAATCAATGCAGCAAGCTCACAAGCCTGTAATACTTCACGCTCTGTATGCTATACCAGATCTTGTGTTAACTGTACATAGCACCAGCATTAAATCTGAAGCAGAGTGGAGCTAAATGCAATGTAGCTGGTTTGATGCATGAAGCAGTTATCGACTAGCGTGCCACACTTTATGTTACTATATATGCATGAGCGCCATTGAGAGAGGTGTACACTGATGCCTTCACATAGTTGCTGATAGTCTCTGATATATAAATATCCATGACACTTTTTGCAGTTTTAGACACATCAAGGGGAATTAAAGTACTGTTGGATATAGAAAAATCTGTTTTTTCACATTTATATCTACAATTTATGAAGCTAATATGTGAAAGTGTGAAATATCTGTTAAACTAAGTTCGGCCTAACTACAGTCTCAGTGGTACAGAGATAGAAAACGTTAAAAAAAGGACTTTACTGAGGAGAGATTAGTGCAGAAATGAGCAATGCGGGGTTTTTCTAAGTCCAAAGCGACTTATTTAGAACAGACCATGGCTTTATGCAAATTAGTGTGAGATGATATTGTATTTCAAAGCACACTTTTTAAACGCCTATTTTGAAACTAGACTTAACTTCATTATAAACGATAGCTGATGTAAAAAAAAATAACTTTAATACTGAACCTACCATACTGTAGCTACCATGGAGCCTCACTATCACTATAAAAAGAAACAGGTAGGAGGGGTCGTCTCAAAAGCAACACCAGGACGGGTGTCACAGATGGTGGCTGGGGTCGTCCATGGGGACAGAGATATCAGCTAAGATAAGATAATCCTTTAGGGGAATTACACTGGGGGAAGTTAACGGCATGTTTTATCAATTAACAAACAATATCCAGTCGATCTTGGGGTGGTCTTGCTACCTATATATTTTGAGACATTTAATACGATAGTTGATTTAAGCTTTTCTATGGGTATCATATTCTTTTACATATCTCAACATAGACGTTATGAAAGACACGCAAGATGATAATCAATAGATGAGACATATTCAATACACATGAAAAAAGCATAAAATATCTTTGAGATGACCCCTTGTGCCTGTAGGCAGCACATGCATTTCATGCCAGGTGAGTAGACGGTCCATCGTCATACCTGGCTGAGCGACCTAATTGACATCTATAGTCTGATCTATTGTTTTGTCCGATTTTACGAGTAAACATGCATTTCTGGATATCCAATTACACATCCCACTGAACGCCCAGTTAGGCCGATGTGGGTTATTTCAACATATGCTACATGCAGTTGTGTAAATGTAGGGATACAGAGTAACAAGCCTAAAAACAGATTTTTTCTATTTCCGACAGTACTTTAATCAGCTCATTGTTGGCCATCACAGTACAACAAAATCGAGGTCACTATTCAATCAAGACGCATACATTTTCAGAGTGAACTCAAAAATTATCTCGCATATCGTATATCGTAATTTTAATCATCCTGAACTAAAGCTATCATAAACAGACTACCGAGTTCAATGTACACCTCCCAGCCAATCACTGTCCTTGGATGTCACCTGACCTGCACTACCATGTAGAGAATGCTGATAGGCACCATCATACAGAGGAACAATGGAGTCGTCCAGCTGATGATTATAATGACTGACACAACAGCAAAGATGCTGTTGATGAGATAAAATAACGTTTGTGACAGTAAAACATCTACAACATCAATGTCCTTTGCGAATCGATTGAGAACCCGCCCAAGAGGAGTAGTATCAAAGAAGGACATGGGAGAGGTGAATACATTGTCCAGCATAGCACTGTGCAGGGTCCGCCCAGCACGGATATGGCCCAGGTAGAGCCCTACACTTGCAATCAACACGTTGATACCTGAAAAAAAGCATTCGCATTTATGTAGACAATAGGGGTGAAACAGTATGCTCTTACCATGGTACGCTACGTATTGCGGTACAAGGGCTTCGGTTTGGTCCGTTTCCCATCGGTATATGAGAACTTACTTCTGGGAAAAAGTGACTGTCTAGCAAAGAAATGCATAGATTTTGACAAAATAATTCGATTTCTAGACATTTTAGGAAAGGTTTAAAAAGGTTAATAAAATGACGGTACAAAAACAGAATTTTGGGTTGCATTACGGTATACTGAACCCAAGGCAAACTACTGCGGTTCTACTAATACAGTGGTATACCGTTTCACCCCTAGTAGACAACCTTGAAAATTTCACCTAGCAGAGCTGCCATAGACCATGAACAACTGTGTCTGCCATGAAGGCTACTTGTCATATGCACCATTGTTATCCTGTAGATGACATGAAAATCATTATCAGCTGATAGGAAATCGGTTGGAGACAACAGGCCTGAAACATCCTTATCTCCAGGAGACTTCAAGTCTACCAGTAAGGTCACCGTGTTGAGATATCATACTGATATGAGATGTGACCAACAAAAAGTTCATAAAACTGGCTACAACAATCTCAAGATTCCTACTGCAACTGCTACATTGTTTACAAGTCAACAGACTGGTGCAACACATTTGATGTGATGTACTGGCGTACGTGAATTGTATGCATTGGTTATTTCTAACCCTCGGTTACTCAACAGTTCAATAAATTCAAATACACCACCTTGATTTGTATGCATGGGATATTTCTAACCCTTCAGTATTAAGTCAAATTCTCAATAAATTCAAATATTGCACCTTCTAAGAAAGCAATTCCCCGTGACCTTTGACCTGACCTTCTCTATACTTCCTGTGAAAGGAAACCTGGGATAGACTCAGTGGCGTGTGAATGAACAGTATATATTCCAGTTTTATCATGACGTGTTAATCTAATGTCAAAGAAGTAAGTTTCATTGACTCATCAGGTATTTATGGAGCTGACAAACCTAGAAATATAATCTGGGTGAACTGGGATTTGAACCCACAAAAATCACGGGTTTCTGGCATGCCCAGGGGACACAACTCTACACAGCAAATTGTTGCATTAGACGTCTGCATCACCTGTCCCCCTATTCTTGTTAATCGAAAACCACTGAAAGAGGAAATTATTCAAAGACATATTACGATTCTTCATGTGGCTTCATTTGTTGTTTAACACAGCAATCAGTAATATTCAAGCTGTATGAAGGCAGTGTGTACGTAAATCTGTAAAAGATGAAGCAGAGATACAAATTGACTGTGTAACATCCAATGCCTTTGTGTGACAAGCCACAGCCATGTCGCTGGATGCCTCCTGTTGCAGATATTGGTTCTAGGGGACCAATGCTAATCCAGAATCCCCACAGGGGAGCATCATGGTTTATTACCTTGAGAAAATCCTAGAGCTCCATACACGCCAAGCCGCATGTCCCGCTGGGCGGTGTCAGTGTGGTTGTACTTTTGGGCATCATTGCTCCAGTCACTGAGCCAGACGTTAGAGCCAATGTTGGCGGCGTTGTACAGGAGGTAGAAGAGAAGGATGACAGCTGACAGGACGGGCCCAACAGCCTTGATGTAGGCTATAAACACGCGTAACTTCACCTGCACATAGAGACAGAGGTCACTCACACTACAACGTAAGTGCAGATTGAAAGTGGGTTGGATTCGTGTTTAACGCAGCCCTCAGGATATGGAGCATGAGATCAATCTGGATCTTGGGTTCTGATAGCTAATGAAGGTTTTAATGAACAAAACGCCACATATAGGGGGAAGACATGTAAGACACATCACATGTTGTATTTAGGATTACACTTTCTTCTAGTACGTATTGAGTCAAGTCCCTCATCTCAAAGTGAGGTGAACTACATCTTAAAGTGAGGCACCAAATTCAGTGATCTAACACACTCAGCCACCAGCAGTCTAGATCGCATACTGTGTGTACTCCTCAGACAATTCAGATGGTCACTGCTATGGCCGATAGCTATGATTGCACACCGCAAAATGTACCGTGATATATTTGGGATTACATTTCCTTATAACATATGCATATCTGACCACTTATTTGACCAATGTGTATTCATGTAAACCACTTGTCAGTTAGTCAAAAAACAATCTGGACAAAATTCTTTTATTCCACAAATATTGATATTAATTAGGCACGCACCCCTGAAAAACAGTGTAAAAGTTAATCTTTCATGTGCAAGACGAAAGAGAACAAGCCCTATAACATCAATAGTCTGTAAGCTGGACTAAATACATTTTCTGATTATGAGATAACCTATTTCATGTACAAACTCACAGTCAAAAGTCTACCACCTTACCCTGCCTGTCTCCACTCCCTCTGCCTGTATGAGTTTATCTTCCGGTTTCTTGTCGTCTGCTGCTGTCTCATTGACCTTGACCTTGCTGTTAGCAGCAAGAGTGTGGTCTGACTTCTGTTTGGTATCATGAGTGGAGTTGAGCGTGTGGCTACTGCCATGCATGTGATCAGAGTCTGTGCGAATACGCTCCGATATCTTTGAAACTTGTCTGTAAACAAAGTCATGCAATTGTGCAACATAATTAAATTGTAATGAATGCAAGCATACAACTTGAAATTATGCAATAATGGTTAACTGTTGTCATTAAAAGCTCAAGTCAAAGTGAGGTACACCTAAGAACACATGCTCCAACCAACCATACCTCTGAAGATCCTTTGTGTCTTCCAGTACTGAACCAAGCTGAGACAAGATCTCTTCTCGAAAACTCACATCTGAAATTGAAAGAATGCAACATGAATCTGGGGTTTTTCAGTGTGCTAAAGGGGCAAGAGGAAACTAAAAAGAAAAAAGAGACACAGCCCACACAGGCTGACCCTAACTACAAAATGTAAGAGTTCCTACCTTCAATCTCCCCGAGTTCCTCCACTTTGTCATCACCCACCAGCTCGTCAAGCAGGTAGTTCTTGAGGAACTCAGCAAACGCACCTGCATGGTCCATGAGCTCCCCGAAGGACCCAACCTCAGACACCTTCCCATCAACCAGAACCACGATCTTGTCCATCTTCGGCAGGTAGCTGATGCCGTGGGTTACCAGAATTCTGGTCTAGAAAGACAGACTCGGCCCATAACAAGCTGGACAATAACATATAAAAGCATGCGGCTAAAATTGAGCATATGTTTACAGGGGGTTTTTTTCATATAGTGTACTGTATTACCTTTCATTCAATAAGCATATGCCATAAAATAATATCCACTGTTTCTGACTTTCAGAAAACATGACTAATCTTGACAGCACTTGTTCCAAAGTATGAGAAATGTTTTACAGAGTCTTGCAGGCTTGTAGATATTATCAACCATCACATTTAAAAGACCCAATCAACAATTTGAAGACCCTATTGAAGCACATATGAAACATAAGCAGTTGAATATACACAATGTTCCTCAAATGTAGGACCAACCATCGAAGGGCAGTAACTCAGGTACATCGCTACACAGGGAAAATTTTGTTTCCTGATGACGATCAGTTAAGACATATTGTCATTGCAAGGTATTATTCATTTATCAATTTTCTTTTAAAATATTAACTCAACAAGTTATGCTAAAATAAGGGTCATGTCAGAGCATATCACCGGCAATTCGGGCCTTTTCTATGCTAAAAGCAATTCAGGGCCTTTTTAGGGTAAAACATTGAAATACCAGGCTTTTGCATGCCTGCACTATCCTCCTCATGGCAATGAAAATCAATGGAAAATTACACAATTCTTGAGGGTACGAATGTCTACCTTTCCAGAGAGCATTCCATCTGGGCCTATGACCTGGTCGAAGATGTGTTTGCCAACATGGGAGTCAACGGCGCTGAGGGGGTCATCCAGCAGGTACACATCAGTGTTCTGGTACACGGCCCGAGCTATAGCCACTCGCTGCTTCTGTCCACCACTCAGGTTGATGCCCTGTCAACAGGACATACAGTATAGGGTGAGTTAGGGGAGCAACATGTCATCATGATCAACAGGCTGTCTATCGTAAGTCAGCGATGGTAAGCAACATGTCAGTGTGATCAGAGGGCCCTTACGCAAGGCAGTCTATCGTAAGTCAGCAGTGGGGAGCAACATGCCAGTGTGGTCAGAGGGCCCTTACGCAAGGCAGTCTATCGTAAGTCAGGGATGGGGAGCAGCATGTCAGTTTGGTCAGAGGCCATTACACAAGGCAGTCTATCGTAAGTCAGAGGTGGGGAGCAACATGTCAGTGTGGTCAGAGGGCCATTACGCAAGGCAGTCTATCGTAAGTCAGCGGTGGGGAGCAACATGTCAGTGTGGTCAGAGGGCCATTACGCAAGGCAGTCTATCGTAAGTCAGCGGTGGGGAGCAACATGTCAGTGTGGTCAGAGGGCCATTACGCAAGGCAGTCTATCGTAAGTCAGCAGTGGGGAGCAACATGTCAGTGTGGTCAGAGGGCCATTACGCAAGGCAGTCTATCGTAAGTCAGCGGTGGGGAGCAACATGTCAGTGTGGTCAGAGGGCCATTACAGCAAGGCAGCGGTGGGGAGCAACATCAGTGTGGTCAAGTCAGCGGGCAGTGGGGTCAGCAAACATGTCAGTGTGGTCAGAGGGCCATTCACGCAAGGCAGTCTATCGTGGGGAAGTCAGCGGTGGGGGCCACAACATGTCAGTGTGGTCAGAGGGGAGCCATTCACAAGGCAGTCTATCGTAAGTCAGCGTGGGGAGCAACATGTCAGTGTGGTCAACATGTCAGTGTGGTCAGAGGGCCATTACGGTCAAGCCAGTCTATCGTAAGTCAGCGTGGGGAGCAACATGTCAGTGTGGTCAGAGGGCCATTACACAAGGCAGTCTATCGTAAGTCAGCGGTGGGGAGCAACATGTCAGTGTGGTCAGAGGGCCATTACGCAAGCCAGTCTATCGTAAGTCAGCGGTGGGGAGCAACATGTCAGTGTGGTCAGAGGGCCATTACACAAGGCAGTCTATCGTAAGTCAGCAGTGGGGAGCAACATGTCAGTGTGGTCAGAGGGCCATTACGCAAGGCAGTCTATCGTAAGTCAGGGATGGGGAGCAGCATGTCAGTTTGGTCAGAGGCCATTATGCAAGGCAGTCTATCGTAAGTCAGCGGTGGGGAGCAACATGTCAGTGTGGTCAGAGGGCCATTACGCAAGCCAGTCTATCGTAAGTCAGCGGTGGGGAGCAACATGTCAGTGTGGTCAGAGGGCCATTACGCAAGGCAGTCTATCGTAAGTCAGCGGAGGGGAGCAACATGTCAGTGTGGTCAGAGGGCCATTTTCTTAAGTATAGTTGTTAATATATTGTATATTGGTTTTCACAAAGCAATATTTTTAACTCTTCCTATCACCTAGCTGACAACCATGAAGCTAATCAAAAGATAAAATAGCCAAAACTCATAGCATAAAGACAATTGAATGAATCTAAATTATCATGTGAAACTGGAAAACAGCTTGACCACATGGTGAAATTCATACATTGCAGTGATGAACAGTCACAACTGGTATGGATCTGTGACACCTCTACTATGCACAAACAAAGATCTTCCAGGACAACATGTCTTCTCCTCACTCACCTTCTCCCCGATCTCTGTTTGGTCTCCAGCAGGCAGCATGTCTATGTCCGGGTCCAGGGCACACGCTCCAACCACCTTTCTATACGCTGCCTCATCAACGGACTCCCCAAACACGACGTTGTCCTTGAGAGTAGCGTTCTGTATCCAGGGTTGCTGGGATACATAGGCAACACTGCCCTGGAATCAGTACACCCACAGTGAATGTCACTCATACACCAGCGTAATTAGTAGCATTTGGGATCTTAACACATCTTGGCATGCAACACCACTTGCAATGACACTGTACTCTGATGTCTATGACTTTAGCTACTTATATGAAGACAGCAAAGTTCTGTTAAATTTACACTAAATTAACACTAAATTATTCTTTTTCGGAGTGTATCAATACCAAAACATGTATGAATCCTAACATCGATTTGGACATCAATTTCTCAGAGCTTCAACCAAAATCAACTAGTGGACATGTCAACAGAGAAGATGACTACTGTCCAAGTGAGACACTGTAAGTAATCAAACAACTCAACACTGAACATGACTTTAAAGGCACAATGTCACACATTTTTTACAATATTTTGACCTTTATTTTATATATTGGGGGCATATGCACACACTTTGCACAACTGTCGCACGCTGTGTTGTCGGTGTTTGCCGAACTGGTTTCAATCACACTTTGTGCGTAGGATATTCATAAAGAGAGCTCCAAGGGACATAACTCCATGAGGTTCGCTTGAAATAATATCCAGCTGGTAGAGGGCACGAGAGTCAATCTCATGCAGTGTTGCATTACTTCATTTGAACATTGTAATCTAGATACACATTTTTTTCTCGAATAAACGACATGGAAGCTTCCCTGAGGGCTAATAGTTGGTATTATTGAGAGAAATGCATTGCATATTTTTAGAGAAGTGTGGTGTGACATTGTGCCTTTAACAGAACGAACATGATGAATAACAATAACTGCATAACAATACAGACCTCTTGACACAATGACACCTCCAGTGCTCAGTCGGCAAGCTATAGTCTTCATGTATGTATGTGTGTGTCTGTCTACTGCACTCAGCAATATTCCAGCTATATATTAGCAGCCTGTATATAATCAAGTCTGGCACAGACAATCCGGTGATTGATATAAGCAGCCATCAGAGTACACTGACTCAAGATTCACCGAGTCACCAAGTCTGACCACTCAATCCACAAGGTCCTCTTGTGATCCAGGGACCAATTCTACTCCTGGTCCCTACAGGTCTCAAGTCTAGGAAAAATAATGAACCATCTCTGCAAGTCACTGACCTTGACATTGACTGTGCCTGATATCTTGTCCATCTCACCAAGGAGAGCAGACAGCAGGGAGGATTTTCCTGTCCCCACTGCCCCGACCACAGCCACCAGGGACCCCTTCTCCACAGACAGGTTGATTCTGGAACCAAACAACGATTCACATTACCTCTAGCTACTTTAAAAATATCTACTGACCACAATGTAAGGAAATAAATAGAAAGGGGGCCTAACTGAACTCCATGACTCTTTCTGCATTTTTTGGAGGTATTTTAATTTCTGGCAAATGGTTACTGATTGTGCTTTTCAAAGACTGTATCAAGAATCTGTCAAAACGAAGCACATGTAGTGTTCCTGTAATCTCTACATACATTAATGACTACAATAACATGAGGCGAAACCATATAATCGTGTTTCTCCAGGGAGACAACTCTGATTACTACTTACTCTTTGAGGGTAGTAGCACCATCTGGGTCCCAGGTGAACATCCCTTGGTCAATACTCACAGCCAGCTCTGGAACAGAGTATAATCAACATGTCAACAAGGCAGGACATCTTCAGAATAGTTAGGAATTGACTAAGGAGATATAAACATGAAAAACAGAGTACACTCAGTTTAAGTCCCCAAAAGGTGATTTTCCACAAGGCAGGCACACAAGTTTTTTTACTTTTTAACTCTAAATGAAAAAATATATCAAAGTCGATTCAACAACTGACAGCTTTTTCAATTAACACAAATCAAGTATAGGCAACAATACAAAATCAGTTGTATTTTTTATCCTGTTCCCAGTGTTAGCCTACTGAGACTCCACACAACAGTACAACATGAATACTCTCATCAGACACAGCATACCCAGCGTCAGACAGGGAAACAAGCTCTTTTAATGCCGCCATATAGCTGGAATATTGCTGAGTGCGGCGTAAAACTTACCTCACTAACTCACTCTTTTAACGCCTTTTGGTACATTGCCTTCAATGAGTGAGTGAGTTGGGTTTAACGCCGCTTTCAGCAACAATTGAGCAATATCACGGCTGGGTACACGAGATATGGGCTGTACCCATGTCGCAACTCGAACCTGGTCTTTCAGCATGACAAGCAAAAACTTTGACCACACAGCCACCCTACCACCCTACATTCCATACAGAGGCAGTACGTGTGGCAACTGTAACACATTGGTGACATAAGACTGTAAGACTTACTGTCTGGGGGATTGTGCTGCACTGCTGATGGGTCCAGCTCCTCCAGCTGCAGGAAGTTCTGCAACCTCTTCAGTGACACACTGGCCTGTTGGGAGCAGAAGACAACCACAGCATCACAATCTACATCTTCACAGTTGCTGGTGTCTGCTGACACCATTAAACAATACAACAACACTTACAAGTATCAGGTGAGCTTACATACATACACATTCAGACCGTCAGGAAGGTAAACCTTAATGATGACATCAGCCTCCCACACCATCATCTAAAGTTATGGTCAGATAATCGTTGGGATTGCTAAGCCTAGTTCACCTCAAAGATTCAAGTCTACTAGCTCAGGTTAACGCTAAATACACATGACTACAATGTGGATCTAGAAAACACAGATCACAATGGCTTCCTTAAAAGTTTCAGGGGAGATAACCTTAATCTGTAAGGTTTTAACTCTTTCAACAAAAGGAAACTAGCAACTTTTACTGCTCTGACACCAGAGACTCTGAGGTGATAGATGATGCCTACACATATCAAAGAAAATATTACCTTCCAAAACAACATAGCTACAAAATGCCACTAATCCTACTCTCTCTCTCTCTCTCTCTCCCATGAAGGAACAGACCCCGTGAGGGGTGTAAATGTTCCTGCGTTGAGTGTGCTGCCCAGCCCGCCAGGGTGGCACCAACAGAAAAATTGTTTAAATATTTTTGTGGTTTCTTTTTCCATAAAAGCGAATGTATGTTCGCAGCATATTTTTGTGTTTTCAAACATAGATAAAAACATAGATATAGTTCACTCGGTCATGACATGCTCAGCTGCTTCAGACGAACTACGATGTTTGCAATAGGCATTCACAACTTGCAACCTCTCACGCGAGTATGAGATATAATATCGATATTCATGGACATGCATGGAGAAAATATACAGGATGTTAAACACATAATGTTAGTGAGGACGAAGTCATTGGGTAATCTGGTTGTTTGCGAGTAGCGCAGTGGATTGAATACATGGTAGAGATTGGGCTTGACAAAATGGCCACCGACGAAAGCAGGAAGACAAGTCAGGATCACATGGCTTGTAAGATGGAGAAAAGACTTGAGTTTTGCACAAAAAGGGTGTGGGAGCTGATCTTACACATCCTTAGTACAATGTTACCACATTTATAGACTGTAAATCCATCGTTGGTCCATGTTTTCTTTCAATTTAGTAACATTTTGGGAGAGCTGTTGGAAACCACGTCTGGCGAGCCGCGCATGCGCACACACATACTGATAATAAATATTCAATAGTACTGCGTAAAATAGTTTCTAAGTTTAAATCTGTCCATTAAAAATGGTGAATTGAAATGTAAATAATTTCAAACATGTGAAAAATGATTTTTCTAATAAATGAGTCCTATATCAGGTAGGTGTAAAAAGTTATATATCATTTTTATGTGACTCCAGTCTGTTATTTATTTGCTTATATTAAGATGTAGCATACAAAAACAGTGTACACTCAGTTAGAGGGGACGATGAACCTGCCTCTGGGGGACTCATGACTCGGTGGTGGGGATGATCATGTACAAAATAGAACATCATTAACAGGACATCTCAAAGACAACTTGCCACGAGGTGACATGAGGTGACATGGTGACTAACGCTGTGTTGAAGGGTCTTGTACCCTCAACTGACCTGGACGAAGTTGGTGATGACCTGGGGCAACATGGAGAGAGGAAAGCGGAGGATGTTGAACAGTGACAGTGCCACAAAGGCCTTCTCCGCATCCAGGACGTTGTTGGAGTCTGACATCACATACACAGCAAACGTTGTCAGGGAAACCTGGGGAAAGTTCACAAGCAGCATTTACAGGAAATCTGTTAATAAATGTTGACACAGGTTACTACACTGAGATACCTACCACAAGCATCACACTAGAACTAGTCTGGGTTAGTGAGGGAACCAGTGTTTGTGGGACAAGTTATCTCTCTCTGCATGATTTTACTTTTTTACCAAATTTTCGGCGTATGTTCAAATGAGGCCAAGGATTTTTATTTGCAGTTCGTTTCCATTCAGCAGGTCGAGACAGAGTAAAAGATGTGAGACAGGGTAAGTTTTAAAATTATCATTATTTCAAATCAGCTCATGCTTCACTGGATGGTATTTTTCAAGTACAAAATCTCAACAATTTTCCAATGTTAGACCCTTATATCATACTTGTATCAATACTAGCATTGAAATGGAACACAACAAAACAGCACTTGGCACCAGTGATAGCTGTACCAAACGTCTCCTGGATCACTCAACACATGCTATAAAAGTAACTGGGTGTCACTAGCACGAGCCCAACTTCTCAACAAAATAAACTTGTCTACAATAAACATGACAAATGATCATAGAGAAATAGGTATGTTGATGTTTTCTTTGCAAATAAAGCATACGTTTTATTGAAAGCCACTGAAAGTTACCAATTACACATGCAATATGGACAGAAAAATCGGCAACCTAACACTGAAGAACTACTTTGAGAGGCATTTTTCCTTCACTGAAGAACTAGTTCTATGATTTTCTGTCATGTGCACTCTCGCATGTTGACTGACCATGAAGGGTGCTGTGGTCCATGTGAAGGAAGACAATGCCTGCAGGTAGGACGACTTCTTCAGCACCTCCAGCTCCTTGCTCCGGATTTCCAGGATCTTCTTCTGGAACGATGGCTCCCATGCATACAGCTTCAGTACCTAGAGGGGAGGTTTATAGAGATGTGTCATTATATCAAATATATCAAAACAGTCAAGCAAAGTTTGCAAAATGAAGCTTAAAGTCAAAATATTGTGGAGAATGGGGTGTGATGGTTTGGGAAGAAAGTACCCAGCATAATTTTTATCAATCATATTAATCGGTGACATATTTGGATGAGATACAACACAAAGCTGTGAGATTGTATAGTTTTATGTCATGTCTTAGCTGTATTCCACCAACATCTCACTGTAGTCATGGGGAATCGCATCTTAGCCATCAGTGAGAGAAGCAAACAATTTGACCACAAAACCGCCCCTAACACCCCTTAAAATGTAATAACCATGGTCTGTTATTAAAAGGTTTCTCACAATGCAGTAATTGTGGGTACAGTTCAGACTAAAGGTAAGGTTCCTGCAAGACTCTTAATTGTGCTCATGATTCTCCCCCAAACAAGTGATGGACTTATGCCAACTCCCAGTTTCAGAAGAAGTGAGGTGAGGTGAGGTGAGGTGAGGTGAGGTGAGGTGAGGTGAGGTGAGGTGAGGTGAGGTGAAATTGGGCTTTACGTTGTACTTGAGAATATTTCGCTCATATGATGACGTGCATGCGTGTGTATGTGTATGTGCGACTTAAGCTGGTTTTATAGTGCTAGCCCACTGAGATACCTTGCCTCAGTGAAGCATGAATACCCCGCTCAGACACATTATACTGACTCCGAGCCGACCAGTCCTTGTTGTACCCATTAATGCCGAGCGCCAGACAGGGACCAACAAGTACCATATTTTAACGTCTTTTGGTAAGACGCGGTCGGGGATCGAACCCACTACCTTCCGCTCTCCGGGCGGACGCTCTAACCACTACACTTTGGAGGCGGTCAGTTTTCAAAAGAGTGAGTGATGAGTGAGTTTAGCTTTACGCCGCAATCAGCAATATTCCAGCTATATGGCGGCGGTCTGTAAATAATCGAGTCTGGACCAGACAATCCAGTGATCAACAGCATGAGTATCGATCTGCGCAATTGGGAACCGATGACATGTGTCAACCAAGTCAGCGAGCCTGACCACCCGATCCCGTTAGTCGCCTTTCACGACAATCATAATTATGTTTTATGAAGGTTCATTCTAACCTGGACCTTCACGGGGTCAATTTTTCAGAAGAAAGATGGCTACCTGCCATATGTGATATACATACAGGTATATTGCCTATTTGGTGACATTTAAAGAGTGGTTATTCAAAATAGTTAGGACAGGCAGTATGCCAACCTGACCCGAACAATAATGAGAATGATTGAGTGATGCCTTTAGAAATATTACAGCAATTTCATATCAGGGAAAAACAGAAATTTTCTTCAAATATTGAACCCAAGTGGGGAATGAAACCTGACCCGTAAGAGTGAGCACTCTAATCACTGGGCTTCCCCACTGCCCATGCATACAATAAACATTGGTGAACAAGTCTTAACAACTAATCATCAGAGCAGTAGAACACTGATTATTGTTCTCATACAAAGCCTGCCAGACGTACCTTCATTCCATTCAGGACTTCATTCATCAGTTTGATCCGCCTGTCTTTCAATGCCATCTGCTGAACCTAAAATACAGACACTCAAATGTTAACAAAAACATCCAAGTTACCAGTACTTTTTCAATAAAATCCAAAAATGATGATACACTTAATATTAAAGACCAAAATACACAAGGAATTCTCGTATTGCAACTCATGGCTAGCAGATAATGTAATTGTTTTAGTAAAATTGATATTTTATACTTATCCTGACTCATGATCTTTTGCTTATCTCCCTCTTCTATGCGAATGTTAGTGGAACACTTGAATCCCTTGTAGTTCCCTAAAGCGGACGTAAAAGTTCACTCACCCACGAAGTTACCTCCCTTTTCCCGCGCAAACAGTCATGTGACCAGCCATACTTGCCACTCTCTCCTGAATATAGCCAGTGCACTTGGATCTACTGTGAAATCTGAAGTGTCTTCAGCGGGGAGGTCGGGAGGGCTTGATCTCATGAGTCAGAATAAGTATAAAATATCAATTTTACTTTAAAAATTACATATTTTTCCTTATCCTGACTCATGATCTTTTGCTTATAGAATCCGACGGATTGGTGGTGGGTCAAGCCACTTTCTGGATTCATCAGCTGTCCTTAGATACATCCTGTATCCCCCCCATGGGAACTGCATAACGGCATTTCCTAGATCCTATTCTTCAAACTTCCGTTATAACTCAGGGGGACCACAATCTTGTCTTACTTCTCTCTCAGACAAGTGAATCTTGTAGATTCATGTGGCTTAAGATATACTAGTATCTTCTTTTTACTAGTTATCTATGACAACCCATAGATTATGATAAGATCGTTATCATAATTGAGTTGCGACCCCTTCACGTACAGGAAAGATCATTACCCGTACAGAGTCCGAATCACTGTGTACGCTGCACTCTGTACCCTTCTCGCAGTACTTGTGAGAAGTAGTCGTCCTCCAATATTCCCCAATTTTCCCAGTACCTTTGTAAACGTCCACCCACTGTCGATGGTTGTACAGGAACTGTTGGGGGTGGAAATGTCCAGTCGTTCCAAACCCCATTTTCAGCGTCTAGCTCCTCTCGAACTTCTGGGAATACGTCCTCTCCCAGGGTTCCCTCTGTAGTTTCCAGATGGGCGATGAAAAGAGCTCTTCCCGCCCATGAAGCTGGAGAATTTCTTCTCTTTTGCCTTCTGAATACCGGAAAACTTTGACTTGTTGCTGTACTTCTGTGAAGTATGGCGAATGACGTTGGCCAAAGTGTCTATAGACTTGATCATCATGACTTCTCTTGAGTCGTGAGTAGCTTCCTTAGCAGCTTCATCAATCTCCCCTCCGAAGAGGGGGCACCACCCAAGGAGCTCTTAGCAGAGGTTGGGTAAATCTGTCACTCCAAGAACAAGATGCTAGTAGACCCTGTCTACATAATAAGGTGAGACCCGCCGACATTGAGGCCAAGTGATCCGATATGAAGTGTTGGTCCTTTTTCTGAGTTAGTAAAGCTGATAGTATCATCCTATCCTCTTCCGACCTAGGGTTTCTTGAAATTTGTTATCAATGCCTCATTGATCGCTCTAGACCTTGCTAACCCGAAGAAAGTTCTCCTAGTTGAGGTGTCGAGTTAAGCCAACTTTTTATCCTCCACCTTATAGGCCTTGTTCCGTGAGTCATTAACCAACTTCATGTTGTCGTCTAAGTCCGGCCCTCTCATGAAGGGATCCATATGATGTAGAGGAAACCTCCCAGCGTTGAATGATGGTAGATGTTGATTCTGATAACGAGTTGCTTTCTCAAAAGCTGTGCGTAGGTTCATAGCCACCTTGGATATCGGTTCAATTGGTGGAATCGTAAGAGAGTCATTTTATATGTGCATGTTTCATCCAATTCCTCCAATCCTTGGAGGGGTACTCTAAGTCTAACCCATTAGCTATCCAAGATGTGACCTCCGCTTCTGAGAAGACGTAGTCACCCTGTTCATCAGATAGTTCCGAGTCAGTTGAACAGTGCTTTCACGATCCATGCCTTCGCATACCTTCTTGAGATTCTTCCCTTCGCGAACATTCCTTTCGCGAACATTCCTCCGAACGTATGTGAGGACTGCGGGATCTAGATGTGGAACGGCTGGATCTCGGAGAGGGCTTCCTAGACGTTGTCAAACGTTGAGGGTTTGCAGACGTATCTCTCGTAGTCTCAGGGACGTTCGCGAACCTTCCATCTTCATTCATGATGACTGAGTCTTCTGAGTGTGAGGAACGTTATCTTCAGTTGTAGACCTGTGAGGCGTAGATGTAGGTCTATCAGGTTCGCGAAGGTCCGAGGGTCTGCGAACATTGCTTGCCCCGTAGGGTTCTGCCGTGCCTCTGCTTCCTCGGCGAACCAACGCTCCATCATGGCCATCATCTGCATAGTAAACTGTCTCATAAAGTCGCCCGGATCGGAGTTCTGCATTGTCTGGGACTGATGCGGCGTGGATGAAGTGTACGCAAACGCTGAGGTGTCTAAATATAAAGGACATAATGCCATATATGGGACTCCAGTGCTCGCCCAACCATCCGCTTGGGTGAAAAGGGAGAGAGTGACAAGTAAGGCTGGTCACATGACTGTTTGCGTGTGAAAAGGGAGGTAACTCGTGGGTGAGTGAACTTTTACGTCCGCTTTAGGGAACTACAAGGGATTCAAGTGTTCCACTAACATTCGCATAGAAGAAGATAAGCTAAAGATCATGAGTCAGGATAAGGAAAAATCTTGTGTAACTAAGGGAAGCGGCTAAGGCACAATCACAAGCTATTACATGTCATTACTATTTAACCTCTACTCTGTCTCTCAGGAGTTGGGGTGCAGAAGTGGCCCGGTACAGAATTGGCCCCATTAATCTTTTGGGATCATGGGTGTGAATCCTGGATTTGTGGGTCAGGTTTCTACGTCTCTCTGTGCACATCAGTTTTCCAAAGTGGAACATGTAACATGGTGTAAGACCTGCATCCCTTTTGGCTTTTTTCTCCAACAATAAACTTCTGTGCCATGACTGAAACACTCACTGACCAATCGTTCACACAAAACCACCATAGTTTTAAAGAAACTATCAATGCAGCTTACATTTCAATGGTTCCGTAGGCAACATTGCTGCTGACAGCAGATAGTGGTCACATTGACCCCTGTGAGGTTCCTACCTGAAGGTTCTTGGTCTTGTTGGCGATGAAAGCGTTGATAGGGATGAGGAGGACCATGACGCCCACACCGGCCATGATGGATGGCCCCAGGGTCTGCCACAGGAAGTAGAGGGACACTGAGATCTGGAAGGGTCCGGACCAGATCATGTGGAAGTATGTCGTTAAGTCCATGAACCGCTGAGCATCCACAGACATTAGGTTAGTGATTTCACCAACCGTTGACGTCTTCCTTGCAGAATTGGACAATTTCAACGTCTGAAAGAACAACAATCTCATGGACTGTCAAGCTGACCAGCTCACCAGATCTTATTTCCTTGTGAAACTAACCAGTAAGGGTCTTAAGTCAAGTGGAGACAAGTAACATAAATGACTAGTTTGTTTAAAAGTATGTCCCAAATGATCTGTGTAATGACAGCATCAGTGAATGGGTCCGGATTCCGTGACTTAACTGCTTGCAGGAAGTACTCATGTCACTTGTGCCATGACAAGGTGCCATTGGATATAGCCAAGTCACATTATCTTTGTACAGCAGTTCTCCATTAGTGTCAGCAGCTCCCCATTAGTGAGTGAGTGAGTGAGTGAGTGAGTGAGTGAGTGAGTGAGTGAGAGTTTAGCTTTAGTTAGCTTTTAGCAATATTCCAGCAACATCACAACATGGGACACCAAAATTGGGCTTCACACATTTTATCCAAGTGGGGAAGCGAAACCTTGTCTTCAGCATGATGAGCGAACACTTTAACCACTAGGCTACCCCATCGCCCCCAGTTAGCGTTTAACAATTGTGAACATAGCAAAAACCATCAGAACAATCTAAATGTTTACCCAAGTGCATCAAGAAAACGCTGTTTAACAAGTGCATTCAAACAATCTATTCATTTCCAATATTAACATAAAACGCTGATTTACCACAAAGCAAACAGTTATTTTTTTCACTCAGGCAGTTAAGAAAGTATTCTATGTTTTTTTAAACAGACATTTTCAGCTTCTTCCCATGGACTAATCTCCCTGAACTCTGCAGCAAAATGTCCAACCAAGGACTAATCTCCCTGAACTCTGCAGCCAAATGTCCAAGTCTGTCTTCACCATAATGACTAACCTTCCTGTATACTGCAGCGATGATGACGGTCCTGAGCCTCATACCCAGGACGAGGCAGCCATGAAAATACTGATGGAGGATGAGGGACTGTACTACAGCCACCAACACCAGAATCACTGAATACAGGTAGCCTCTCCACAACATCTCATCCTTGTTCTTGGTGAAGTTGATAAGGAGTCTGGAAGGAAGAGTGAGTGAGTGAGTGAGTGAGTGAGTGAGTGAGTGAGTGAGTGAGTGAGTGAGTGAGTGAGTGAGTGAGTGAGTGAGGAGTGAGTGAGTGAGTGAGTGAGTGAGTGAGAAGCGAGCATGCATTTATTACTATTTAAGTAAAACATAAATATTTTTTATATTTGTATACTTATTCTGCACTACCTACTTCCTGCACTTATTGCTTACTACTAAAAATGTGGCTGCCAGAGGATGTTGAAACGTAGAACTGCGAGACCTGTTGGGTCTTTGGATAGCAATAATCTGAGGTGGCTGACATCACCTTCCGGTGATGCGTGTGCAGATGATCGTCAGAGGACAAGGAAGTGATCGCAGTTCTTTGTTTCAACAAAGTGGTGCAGTATTAGATAAAATAATTATCATCATCATATATTATTATTAACTATTACTATTATTGATCACTTGCATTAACTAACAAATTTCAAAAAGACATATTGGAGCACATTATCATTGCAAGTTACATAGCGTAATATGCATGTGTATGACAAAAGACAACAAACAAGAGTGACTGAAATGCTTGACAAGCCTCAGGCACCAACACTGGGAACCTGTACAGTTTTCATCCCAGATCAAATCTAGTTCCCTAATTTCATTTGGAATTTCCTACTTTCATCGAAGTTGGTTCACATGTGAAGCAGTTGAAGGTACATCTGTGAAGATGATGACACTTACCGTATATTACCGTAGATAACCCAAATTTTGAGGACTGTAAGGGGGTCGGCTTATCTATGGATTACACTTTTGTCAAACTTTTTCCAGGGGTAAGAAAACAACATCGTATCACGTGTCAGTAAAGACGTCAAATTTGCAATTAAACATCACTAGACATGATTATTTTCCTTTTAAGTTCTAAGTTGTTTTTGCTGGGCATTGTATTATTTGCAGGGATAAAGATTACCGTGTGTATTTGAGCTGGAAATAGCAATCAGCTGTGCACACGTTTCCCAGCGATCAAGTTCAAACATGCACAATAATATAACGGGATGAATTCTCACGCAGTCATCAGTAAAATATAATACAAAATACTATTATTTAACCCAAAGAAATTATATCCTAGCATTGTGTAATTTTAATTACAAATTTTGCTCTATAAATGTAAAATATATATAATCAACACTAAGATGATACGGACCCTCGTGAACGTGGTAAGTGGAAGTTGTACGCACATGGAATGGGGTAAAATAAGAAAGCCATTTAAATTCACACATTTTTGCTGATGTTACTGTAAACTAGCAGTTCATGGAAAATGAGGCGGTAATCAGTTCGTGATTGTTGATAATATGATGTGAAATTGGCTACCGCGGTTGGAGCGAAAAATGTACCCTCATGAACGTGGTAAGCGGAAGTTGTACGCACATGGAATGGGGTAAAATAAGCAAGCCAGTTTGTTGACATGTGATCGTCCAGCTACAATATTGAAAATTTTACCATAAATTGTATATTTATATACTTATCCTATCTCACGGTATGCACCTCTCTTCTTCTACGACCATGTGTGGAAACGTGCTGTAGGCTAAGTTGAATCAAATCTTACTGGCCTCTGACCACCCGACCTCTGCCCTCACTCCGACAACAGCACCTGTCAATCATCTCCATAAGCATGCAGCTCGCTCAGATGATCACGTGACTACCTGTGCCTGTCATTCTCGTCTTGGAGCTTCCAGTAATCTGTGATGTGTGGCAGGTCAAGTGGGTATCCATCGCGTGAGATAGGATAAGTATATAAATATACAATTTATAGTAAAATTTTCAAATTATTAAACTTTTCCTATCTCACGGTATGCATAATCCCACGGTTGGTAGGAGGGCCGCAGATTACCCTGTCAATACTTACAACCGTGAAGACGCATAACCCAAGGAGACCAGGAAAAAGCACCAACACCCGATATGCAAACTCCAAACTTGAGATGGGTATCTTCAGGTAACCCCTTGGCTTACACAGCACAAAAACTCTAGGGAGTGGGCGCTCCCGAATTAATGTTGTTTTCTTGACAAGCAAAAGGACGCATTTTGGCAATTAGGCCCCGCCGCCTCCGCGATTAATCAGGTGACCCCAGTGAATTAAAGTCGAAGACCTTAATCTGGCCAGTCCCTAATTCGGAACTACCCCCCACAGACACACGCTTGAAGGCGGTGAAAGAGGGAATAGCCTGGTTGCTCAATTATTTTAACGTTCAGTACCAATCCCCCTAACTTACCAAAGGTGAGAAAGGACTTAGGAGCGGAACGCTCCGAAAACCATGTAGGTAATCGGAAATCAACACTTCACTGACGTAATTGCTCAAAGAGTAAAGGTCAGTAAGCGGAATGTTGACCATCTCTGCATGTAGCACAAGACTTGCCTCACAGTCCATCCAGTCATAGTTATGACAGTGCAGACACGCCCTAGTTCCCTAGGTGAGAATGATCTAAGCCCAAATAAAAAAAGTACCATGACATGGATAACATCGATATCTTTTATTGTGTACAGAGCAAAACCGACCAAGGAAGGATTGCTTTATCTATGAACACGGGCCGATGACAATTGCTGCGCCAGGACCAGGCGGCTGAATTGATGTAGACCTTCCACATCTGTAACCGAGAGATCCTGCAGGTAGTCTGATGCGAACACAGTATCTGATTTAAAAAAACATCCCTCCATGATGGAATGGAGGAAACAATTCCTGTAAAGCGCCATGGTGCAAGTGAGAGCCCGAGTCTCATGAGGCTTCGACGTCAACGGTGGCGGTAGGTCAGCAAAGGCATAAGCCCGCAGGATCGTAGTTCTCATCCAAAACGCCAAGGTAGTGCGTGAGACTTCCGAGGCGGAGGCAGTAGATAATGGAATGAACAATCTCTTACGCAATCTGTGGCGATCCTTCAAGGCAGCTAGATAAATCCGTAATGCTCGAACCGGGCATAAGGAAAGATCTTCTATGTCATCTGGGCCCAAGATAGTAGACAGCGGCAGGATCGTGAACGTGTGATCCGGCTGACCTGGTAACTGATTCTTGGCGAGAAAATCCCACCGCAAACCAAGGAAAACTTTAGCATGTCTAGACCTCTCAAACCGTATCCGAGAAACATCGAGAGCGTGCAACTCAGAAATACGGGCAGCTATGGCCAAGGCCAAGAGAAAGAAGGTCTTACAGGAGACATGTTCAAAATCTTTCTCCTCCAGAGGTTCATAATCAGCTGACGTGAGATGAGCAAGTACAACGGAAAGATCCCAAGCTGGAGGCTGGAAGTTCCGGCACTGATCAGCAAGTTTGTAAGAACTGAGGAGAGACTGGAGTTCAGGGACAGTGGACACCTTCACACCCGAGGCCAACGCAATAACCGTGTTAAGGGCAGCCAGGTAAGTAGATAGCGTGAGAACCTTTAAGGTTTCTAGAGGTTCGGAGATGCTGAAGGTACTCTGCCACCATCTGTAGGGACACCGTAGTGGGAGATGTGATGCCCTTCTTCCTGCAATACGCTTCAAAATTCTTCCACTTGTCATCGTAGAGTGACCTAGTAGAGGTGCGATGCGCTGTAGTGATGGCAGTAGCAACACGCTTCGAATAGCCCTTGGCCGTGAACGACTGCTGTAAATGCGCCAAGCGTAAAGATGGAGCGTGAGCGAGGGACCAATGTAGCTGGTCGGAGTGCACATGCACCAGTAGATCGAGCCGATCAGGAAGTGGTACAGGATTTGGTTCGGCTAGTTCTTGAAGATTTACGAACCAACTTCTGGCCGGCCAGTAGGGCGCGACCAAAAGTAGTGTCATCCGCTGAGTTGGGCGCAGTTTCACTAGTATGCGAGGAAGAAGGGCCACTCGCGGAAACTCGTAAGCGTTCAGGTCGTCCCACGGAATGATTAGAGCATCGTGGTCCCAAGCCAGAGGGTCCGGAATCGGTGACACAAACAGAGGCAGCTGATGGTTGAACCGAGTGGCGAATAGATCCACTGTCGGAGTCTTCAACGGAAGGCAGAAGGTCTGGAACACCTGAGGATGTAATTTCCATTCCGTTGGAGAGGGACGACTCGGCCGGGACAGAGAGTCTGCGATGACGTTCACCCCCGGAATGTGTGGATGGCTCGTACAGAAATGTTGAGAGAGTCCACCAGGTCGAAGAACTGTTGAGTCCAATGCAGGAGTTGAGTAGACCCCGTTGACCCCATCCTGTTGATATGCCATACCACGGCTGCGTTGTCCGAAGGGACCATGAGGGAAGTTGCTCGTAGGACATCTTGCCAGTGACTGATTGAAAGAATCACTGCCCTGAACTCCAGCACGTTGATGTGACAGGTGCGATCTGCGAGAGACAACTGCCCTGCCACTTGTTGATTGAGAAGATGATCTCCCCACCCGTGTAGAGACGCGTCCACATACAGGTGGTGAGATAGAACAAACAGCCCTAAGCAAACAGTTTGTTGACCTCTGTGTTGAACACTGCTCCAATGAATTGAAGACGGCGTGTAGGGACTAGTTCCGATTTCTGCAGATTGATTAACCATTGGTGAAGAAGCTGTATCACAAACTGCATGTGACGAAGCAAAAGGGCATGATTGGTCTGTGCCTGAATGCAGTAGTCGATGTGAGCTTCGAAAAATATCCCCTTGCGGTGGAGGAAGCTGGTGATAGGCTTCGTCACCCGTGTAAACAGCCACGGGGCCGAAGAAATTCCAAACGGGAGGACACGCCACTGATAGTGGGTGCCCTCGAAGACAAACTGAAGGAACTTGCGATGAGCCGGGAAGATCGGGATGTGAAGGTACGCATCCTGGAGATCGAGACTGACCATGTAGTCTCCCGGTTTGATAATGGTCTTGAGTAGAGCTACCGACACCAAGCGAAAATGGGGCGGAGGCTGCAGAAACATCTCGTTGAAGACCTTCATGTCGAAAATTAGCCTCAACTTGTCCGAATCCTTCTTGGGAACCAGAAAGATTGGAGAATAGAGAACCCTGGGTCGATCGGGGCCGGACCCAGGAATTTGATCGCAAGTTTCTGGAGTAAGGTGTTTATTGTGGATCGAAGAACAGCCGTTTGCTGAGCGGGATACGTGAGAGGAGGATCCCCGATAATCGGCAGCTGGAACCCCTTGGATAACGTGGAGAGAACGTAAGGGTCGCCCAAGATGGTCCAGTTGGGAGCATAAGTCCCAAGTCTTCCGCCTACTGGGGAGGTCTGGATGGGCACGACTGGAGGTGGAAGAACATCTCTAATCGCCCCGTTGAAAAGTGACCTGCCAGACCACGGCTGACGAAAAAGATCAGTGCGGAACCCATCCTCCCATGAGGATAAGTGCAGAGGCCCCTTGCGACGCATAGCTGTGACGTACGAAAAGAAGTGAGCCAACTGATCCAAAATGGTCTGAAGTTGCTCTTGCAATAGCACCATGGCTGCCCGAATATACGCCTGTTGATGGGATGTAGCATGTGCATGTGATCCTCAACCAGGAACGGTGAGTAGGCGTTCTGTTTGGTTCCCAACAATGTAATATCATCATCCACCGGAGGGGAGACGATCAGCGTAGAGAAGCCATGAACATGAGCAGATGCTAATTGAAGCAGGGAGCCGCGAACCCATCCTTAACCTTCCTCAGGTTACCAAAAGCCTCATCCAGAGACGCTGCCAATTGAGTGATGCAAGGGCGAGGCGGGAAGGTGATAGAACCAAAATCACCTGGCTTCAGTCAAAACTGGATAATAAATCCGAAGGCGAACTACTATGCTGTAGTCGAAGGCTATTGGCAATCCAGACTAGCAATTGAGGAGTGTCAACAGCATCAACGCTAACATCCGAAGGCGACGAACCGTCTCAAGAGGGAGATGGCATAGTATAGCCGAACGATGAACTTCCTCCAAACGTTAAGCTGGAGTGGTCATAGGAACAGATGACGGAATAGCAGAGGAAGACGCTGGCGCCTGATGCCGTAACACCAAGGCTACCGCTTGTACAATGGCGTCAAAGTCAACAGGTTGAGACGTCGAACCCTCAGACACCGGAATCCAGGAGACTGGTAAAATAGGTCTTGCCACAGGCCCCGTTGGAGGAGGCAAAGACGAACAGGAGCAGACAATGAAGGATGACAAGGCACCCCATCAAGAGAAGACGAGCAACCAGCTGACTGAGACAAGTTCCCATGATGAAACGATGAAGACGTAGGGTGCCTCACACTCGCCACTCTAGGTGGTAAACCAAACCCCGCTGTGACAGTTCCACAGGAGGAAACAGTAGTACTCCTGCAAAGTGGCACACCCACTGCTGAAGACGCATAGGAAACATATGGAAACATTTCTGAATGAAAGCATGGAATCTGGAGCAAGCGGCACTCTACAAACAGGTACCTGTCCCAATGTAAGCGCTGCTTCGGAGGTAAACGACGCACTAGAATAAAGTGGTGGTCCGTAACCAAAGGGTACAGGATAAGGGATAGATGTGGAAAGAGTCGCACTGGGAATCATTATCAAACTTGTCGACCCCATCGGAGGATGAAAAAACGCCAAACCGAAACTATACACTGTACCAGAACCAAGTGTCACCGTAGACACAAGCACCGAAGTGGAAAGCGCCGAACTGCAAGTAAGCGTCACTTGAGAGGTAATGTTAGGAACCACACCAAGCGCCGCATAAGAAACACCCACCGGAGGAACATAAGGGCGCTGAGGAACAGTTACCACCGAAGACGGACGGGGTTGAATAGCAGATGTAGACAACACGACAGTGGTGAGGAGTCCTCTAAAGTGATGGGGCTAGATGCATGTGGACGGAAAAGTCGACGGAGATTTTCACTGAAGTAAGAATCAGACGCCTCCCTAGGAAATCTTCATTAGGAGACAGGGACTTTGAACGTCGAACTGCAGTTTCCTTACGGCATTCTGCCTTAGGACGTTTAGACGCAGACGGACCTACAGATGTGTTACGACGATCCCTATCTGACATGTGTCTACAAGCTACCCAGCGATATTCAGAAAAAGCATCGTCGTCGAGGCCAGCACAAAAAGTGCAACGCTGAGACCAATCACAACGACCTAAACAATCTACACATAAAGCATGTGGATCTGCCGCCAAGAAATTACTGTTACAATTGTCACAATGTTTGCGCTTCTTAGAACCATTACGATTTACCCATTGTTGAAACACAATCTAACTTTCTTAGAGACAAGCACACGTCCACACGACGTAGCGACAAGAAAGAGAATGACAGGGACAGGTAGTCACGTGATCATCTGAGCGAGCTGCATGCTTATGGAGATGATTGACAGGTGCTGTTGTCGGAGTGGGGGCAGAGGTCAGGTTGTCGGAGGTCAGTAAGATTTGATTCAACTTAGCCTACAGCACGTTTCCACACATGGTCGTAGAAGAAGAAGAGAGGAGTATACCGTGAGATAGGATAAGTTTAAAAATAGTATGATATTTAGCGAAACAAAATATATTATCCATTTTCTGTCAACTACACTTCATTTCGATGCGTGTGTAGACGCAATATGATTGTGAATTCTTTGAATAATGTGGACCAAAATTATAATTATTGGTAACTGCCAGTTGTCTGTGGTCTGTGTTTGCCAAGATTAGGACCCCATCGCTGGGGATCGGCTTATGTACGAAACATACCATTTTGACACTGATTTTAAGGGTCAAAGTTCGGGGGACGGCTTATCTACAGTAATATATGGTAGTCACCTACTATTACCAATACAAGCCATCATGGAAGTCATCATACTTGTTATCGTTGCTGAATAATTTCTTTATAATCATATCAAGCGCTACTCACATTAAGTTCCACCACTTCTTTGGCCAGGGCTCTACTCTTGCATCAATTTTGTGATGTGTTAACTTCAAGATTTACAAATAATCAGCCAAGCCCATCTGTACACACACATCATGACTGACTTACTTGAGCAGCTGTGGGCTGACAAACAGAAGCATGTCATGGATGAGTTTGTACCCGGCTGCCATCAGGAAGAACCCAAAAAAGTTCTTCACTAAACATCGTAGTAATCTCGGTTTCTTGACTTTATTGCTTCCATCTGTGACCTTGACATCAGGGTTGACCTCCGTGTACACTTCACCATCTTGGTATCGAGTTTTCAAACCATTCACAGGTCTGATGAGTCGTGCATTATGTCTGTGAATAATGGGAACCAGTTATGTAGACATTAATAACATCTCACGTTTAGTTATACTGTCATCGAATTAGCAATCTAGCTATGTATATTTTATAGACGGTTGATTGCATAGATGGATGGAATTAGAGAAGAGATGGATGCATGGATAGAATAGTGGGAATGAATGGAGGGATGGATAGTGGGATGGATGGTGGGAATGAAAGGATGGATGGGTGGTAGGATGGATGGATGGTGGGAATCAATGGATGGATAGTGGGATGGATGGTGGGAACAATGGATGGATGGTGGGATGGATGGTGGGATGGATGGTGGGAATCAATGGATGGATGGTGGGATGGATGGTGGGAATCAATGGATGGATGGTGGGATGGATGGTGGGATGGATGGTGGGAATCAATGGATGGATGGTGGGATGGATGGTGGGGATCAATGGATGGATAGTGGGATGGATGGTGGGAATCAATGGATGGATGGTGGGATGGATGGTGGGAATCAATGGATGGATGGTGGGATGGATGGTGGGAATCAATGGATGGATGGTGGGATGGATGGTGGGAATCAATGGATGGATGGGGATGGATGGTGGGATGGGAAATCAATGGATGGGATGGTGGGATGGATGGATGGTGGGATGGATGGTGGGAATCAATGGATGGAGGTGGGATGGATGGTGTGGAATCAATGGATGGATGGTGGGATGGGTGGTGGGAATCAATGGATGGATGGTGGGATGGATGGTGGATGGAATCAATGGATGGATGGATGGTGGGGATGGATGGATGGTGGGATGGATGGTGGAATCAATGGATGGATGGGGGATGGATGGATGATGGATGGTGGGATGGATGGATGGATGGTGGGATGGGATGGATAGATGGATGGATGGATGGTGGGAGGATGGTAGGAATCTATTGTTTGATGGATGGTGGGAATCAATGAATGGATGGATGGTGGGATGGATGGTGGGAATCAATGGATGGATGGATGGTGGGAATCAATGGATGGTGGGATGGTGGTGGGAATCAATGGATGGATGGTGGGATGGGTGGATGAAGGGATGGATGGATGGTGGGATGGATGGTGGGAATCAATGAATGGATGGATGGTGGGATGGATGGTGGGAATCAATGGATGGATGGTGGGATGGGTGGTGGGAATCAATGGATGGATGGTGGGATGGATGGTGGGAATCAATGGATGGATGGTGGGATGGATGGTGGGAATCAATGGATGGATGGTGGGATGGATGGTGGGAATCAATGAATGGATGGATGGTGGGATGGACGGTGGGAATCAATGGATGGATGGTGGGATGGGTGGATGAAGGGATGGATGGATAGTTGGATGGTAGGATGGATGGATGGATGGGTGGTAGGATGTGGGAATCTATGGATGGATGGATTGATGGATGGTGGGATGGGTGGATGGATGGATGGATAGTGGGATGAATGGATGAAGGGATGGATGGATAGTAGGATGGATGGATGGATGGAACGAAGAAAGGAATATTGGAGATAAGTAAACTACTAGAAAGTTTTGTATGGAAACACAGGAGAATGTTTTGACATCTGAACACTTACTCCTTTGCCCTGGCCACCTCCTTCTCCCAATACTGCTGGAACTTGGGGAGGACAGTGGACGACGTGTCCACATCATTGAGATCCCATAGGTCCTTCCTCTCCAGCGCCCGCTTGTACCCCTTGATCACCAGCCTGCAGAATAACAGCAGATCCACACATCATTTTCAATTCCACGGTCAGAGTGAGTGAGTGGGTGAGTGAGTTTAGTTTTACGCCGCTTTTAGCAATATTCCAGCTTTATCACGGCGGGGGACACCAGAAATGGGCTTCACATATTGTACCCATGTGGGGAAACGAACCCGGGTCTTCGGCATGATGAACCAACGCTTTAACCACAACGCTACCCCACCGCCCCCCATGGTCATAGACTCAGGTATAACCAATGTGAGTAGTATATCCCCACATACCAGCTAGACATCAGAGGTTTTAAGTTACAAATGTCCTAGGATTCTCTCCTTAACCAACTTCCTCCTTGTACTCACCCTGTGAACCACCAGAAGGTGATCTGGGACAGGAACGACACGTTCATCTCGGGGCATGGGTTCTATCAAACAAAACACATCATTCATGGATTACACATACTAACTGACATTTTACTAACTTTGTTCTCAATACAGGTGAAAGATTCATTAATCAAGACGATAATCCATTGTTATACAACAACATACTACGAAGGTATGCATGATCTGACAACATCCTGACTTACCGTCTGCTTTGTGGCCTCGGTACCAGCCGGCAGTCTGTCTACACAAGCTGCAAGTATCAGCTGGGCTATCACCAGAGGGAAGTAGATCTTATACGTCACAAACCGGAACATATCTTCTATACCCTGAAGTACACACACAATGTTGTTTTAGCCACATCAAGCTTGACTAGAAATAGTTGCAGCCAGGCAAACCCTTGGTTGATAGCATCAGGGCACCAGTGCTTGAAATCAACAGACATGAGAACAGCAAAGCACAAAGAACACTGCAAATTTAGCCGGAGTTCTTTGAGGTCTCATTGCATTGATCTCAGAAGTTCAAAATGAACAACAATCCTGGAAATCTGCAGATCTGTGAAAATTCTCATGTCTGAATCAAATCTGGTCCTGGGGATTTACTGAACACAGTCTGATCTAGAATTGGGCGTGTACTGGAACAGGCAGTAGCAGTACTATCCACACTGTATCATGTTAAAGAATATGCTGGACTCATCTAATCCTGGGTTTAATGAATATTGTAACAACAGACTGAGAGAGTTCATGTTGAAAGATAGTACTAGAGAAAATTACTGATAAATTTAGTATTTTAAAGAGTCAATATACTTTTGAGACAGGTAGTTAGTTCAACTGGTTTTCATTGTAGTTATTGTAGTTATTACCATTTCTGTAATACAAAACCTCGAAAATTGATAGAGAAATGAAAGGAGTATTATCACATTTATCTATCATGCTGTCAGGTATAAATTATTGGCATCACGTTGATAACGAGGATAAACAGCAATCCTGGATCTCACACACCTGACTAACTGCACGTCTGATATTTGACTGATACGTCAAGATGGCTGCCAGAAGAAGAAGCAGCCAGAAGTTGAACAGAAACCCTGACGTTCGTATTCCTTTCTTTCTTTCAAAGTGGACTAGAAAGCAAAACAATACCTGGAAAAAGATAACAACATACCATTAAAACAATCACAACACAGTTTAATGACACTTTAATATAAACCATCAGAAGGCAGGATTTCAAGCCCATTTTGAAATATCACTAAGAACAGGTGAGCTACATTCCCAGGCCATAAGTATTCGTGATTTGGGTTATGGCAACGTAATTTCTCCTTTTCAATCACCGCGCTGTACGCAATGCACTTCCGTCAGCCATGAAACATTTACAATTTATAAATAGCTTATCACATGAGCATCACGTGACACACGTTTAAGTTGGCGTCTGCTTCTCTACTTCTGGTAGTATTGGCTATCGACAAAATGGGTCGGAAATCAAATGAGTTGAGTACTGAGAAGAAAAAGGGGATCATAAAATTGTTCAATGAAGTTTCTGACAATGTGAAGAGACTCTGGAGAGTCATAATGAACTGGGACTCCTTGTCCCCAAGTGTCTGCATCTCTGGTTGGCCATTGTGTAATTAAATTAACGGTATGTGTTGTAAAATCTCATTCTGTTCTGATGCTCATATGAGTGTCACAAGCCATATGGTGACATGATGTGAAACACTGAGTTCTTGACCAATGCATTTACATGACGACATGCATGCACGTGTTGGTGTCCGCTGTTACTAATTAGTGGTGTTCCAGTTAAGTGAAATAGTCAAAGATTGGTCGCAGTGACCAAACGACCAAGCAATCGATCATTTTCTCATAATCGAACATAAACAATTTTGGAAATACTGGTTTAGTGTTTGCAACACTTGACGATGGAACATATCTTAGAAGTTGTCATGGCCTGAAAACGTGTTTAATTCTTAGAAAAACCACTTCATTTACTGAAGAGTCATGACTGAATATTTCATGAATACTGTGGGAAGTTTATGTTCATGATACATTAGTCATAACTTTAATGGAGCAAGTTGCATCATGTGGATGTGAAATTTGCACAATTTCCAAATGTAACTAAATACAACAAAAAAACATGTTTTTTCTTTATACATATCTACATTAAAAATTACACTAACCAATTTTTTTCAATGCTTGCTCATTTGTAATGAGCCAATCATCAATTGTGAGATTTCAACCAATTCCCCACACTAGTACTAATCCAGACTTACCATTGTTATAAATAATATAAGAGGAGATATGAAGAATACTGGGGCAACCGATTTCCCCTCCGCCATCTCGTGAACACTGCGGAAAATGTCCGCCAAAGCCACGACTCCAATCAAGACGGCCAGTACCTGTAATCAAAGTAATATTCAAGTGTATGGTGATGGCAATACATTTTCACAACTACATCAAATCTATTACTGTTATCTATCTCAAGTCAAGTCCTTACAATGATTACAAACTGAGAGATGTAGAAGATTATTTTAAAAATATTGATTCCTATGAACACAAAACTTGGCAGAAAAGAGGAAATAATTTTATTATCCTCAAAAATGTATCCAAATTAAAATGAATCATAACCAAATGTGCACGAAACACATGTTGGCATAACATGCATTGTATGTACAACACATATGATGTACCAGTATATCATGCTTCGATAAAACCACTGTGTTCGTGGAAGGAAAAAGAAAATTTGCGTTCCTAAAACGCATAACCCTTGGAATCTTGCGTGTGGATGCATCACAGGTGCATGCCCGATCCACAAAGTGGTGACGTCTCTATTGGGGTCCGGTAAAAGTTTGAAATTTCCTTGCACTTCAGAGCATTTTATCATAATTCGCAGGTCAAATTAGCTGAGCGAAACTTTATTTTATTTTGTTGTTTCCTTGGGTGAGGTGAGGTGAAATTGGGTTTAACGTCGTGCTTGAGAATATTTCGCTCATATGACGATGTTTCCTTGGGGCAAATACGTTTTTGGTTACCTGTTGTGTTTCACGAACCATCGGTTCACATGTCCACAAGTCATCATCATTATTTTGAAGAAGGATCAACTTGACTTTCACCCATTCAACGAGTTTTTTACAGTTTCATAAAGAATTTGGGGAGTTGTGGCACACAACACATGGCTCGAAGTTTTGCACGCCATCTTGCAAGGTCACTATTTATAAACCTGGGGAATTCCGGTAACATCACCATGTCAAAATGGACGATGTTACATTTCAGTATGACTAGAATTAAGGAAGTAATTTAGAAATGTAACTACCCAAAACACAAAATGCTTTGCGTGCAGAACACGCAGGTATAAAATATCATGCGTGAAATATAGATTTATTTGCATGAAAATGTAGGTTTTAGTGCTTTAATGCGAACATAGAAAAGTATAACATTTACCAATATAACATGTATAATGTGCATAACACGTAGTGGTATGATATGTATACATATCATGAGCCAGTGCAACATGTATCACTTTAACAAGCAGCACCTGTGCCATTATATAATGCATAACATCTACCAAAAAACGTGTAACCAGTTACATTTAAAGATGTATACTATGTTCCAGTATAACACATATAACATGCATATGTGTGCAGGTATAACATGATTTGGGTTTTTGGGGGTTGTTTTTATTATGCCACACTCAGCAATGTTCCATCAATATGGCAGCGGTCTGTAAATAATGGAATCTAGACCAGACAAGCCAGTGATCAACAGCATGAGCATCAATCTATGCAACTGGGATACGATGACATGTGTCAACCAAGTCAGCGAGCGTGACCACCCGATCCCGTTAGTCGCCTCTAACGACAAGCATGAGTTACTTAAGACCAATTCTAACCCGTGTCTTCACAGGTAGGTATGGCATGAATAGTGTGTACCGTTTTATCATGTATAACATGTATGTGTAGATGTATGACGAAGTATGTTTTCTTTCAACCCATTGGCAGGCTATTTATGTCTACCAAGCTTCACTCAAACCATGTGATTTCTGACAGCTGATATCAACACCGAGTAGACAATCTGTCAGTTAGGATTTTGACATCACCAAAACTTTTAATACTCTTTTATATAACAGTCAGTTATGTCTTTGTGACATCTGTTTCAATTAACAATGATTAAACTCAAATATTTCTCAATTTGATCAAAATCTTTTACAATGTGTTGTAGCTTGATTCTGAGCATTTTGTCAGTGCCTGTTGAAAAACAAGCTGCCAGTGAAGTTGCATCTCACATAAGATATAAAATAAACCCAGTGCATCTGCTGGCATGTTTTACAGCTGGACATTGTGACCGGCTAGCATTTCAATTACCAGTCATTTGTAAATTTTACCAGTCAAAATTGATTTTAGAATTTGCCGGACACGATGACCGACAGCCTTTACCAGACATTCTAACTTTGTACCAGTCAAAGTCTGGTATATACCAGATAACAGAAACACTGAAACCAACATGATTGAAAATGTCTGAGCAGAAATCCAGGGCCCTGTTTCACAAAGCTCTCGTAAGCCTAAGATCTCGTAAATTTTCTCATAGCATTCGTACCTCCCATACTGTAACATTGACTTACGATAGTCGTAGCGCTATGAGAGCTTTGTGAAACAGCCCAGGGCTCCAGATAACTTTGTGAAACGGGGTGTGGGTGTGGGGCTCCAGATAACTTTGTGTGGGTGTGGGTGTGGGTGTATTTACACCTCATATTGCAAGTGGAGGTGTCCTGAGAAATTTGAAGGAGTACTGACGTGTTTTTTGTGTGAGCGAGTTGGTGATGTTGTTTGTTATTTATAATTATTTTATACAAGATATCAGCTATTAAATTTTATATATGGCGAAGAAATAAAGAGAATTAACTTTGGTTTGTTGTTGTTTATTTCACAAAGTGTTCACTTACAAGATTATATAATCACTCAAGAGTCACATTGTTTGACCCCCCCTGTACCCATAACATTTACACAATACACAAAAAACAATTTCCTCTGTCCGGACGATTCATCGATCACTATTTCCAACCATGGGTACGACTTCTGCGAGTCTGTAACTTGTACCCGCCCTTGTGGCTTCGTAGTCGCGTAACCAAACGTAATAGTTCATTGATTAATATCTCTACTAATTTTGTCGCCGAAAATGGCGCCCGATCCCGATTTAGACCCGTTTTTTCCAAAGAAACTCGTTATTTGTTTTGACATGCCATGTTGGATGCCAGACCCGATTCAAAGACGTTTCATCCTACTTCAGTTTCGCACAATCTATAGATTTGTTGTTTTTTGTCTATTACTGTTCAAATGAATTGTATATATTACTGCCTTGCATGCGATAATACCGACACAATGTATTCGCAATTCTCTGTAACTGAGTGAGATTTTAATTTAGGGTGAAAGTATTTTGAAGACACGTGAGAAATAACTAAGCGACCGTGTGATCTGCGAAATGCCTGGTCCGACTGGATATAAATAGGAACAGTGTAGTTTTGAGCCAATCGAAAAATAGTGACGCATATCGTTGCATGGCAAAGCAAGGGATTCCCACTACCGGGGTTTCCTCGTGTGTCAAATTGCGTTTCGCGAAAGAAACTCTTGACAACAAGTATTGATCCGAAATAGAATTCCATTTGCACGATACGCACAGGAATTAAATGTTAGACGTACAAACGTATTTATGTACCTACATGATACGCTTGAAAACTTATATTATGTGGTACTTCATTGATTTTTAGGAGCACATTACGCCTGTACGCCCCTTATCTGTAGCTGTGGAAATCTATGTCAAGTAAAAACGTGACGTGACGATACGATACCAAAATAACACACATGATACATACCAGCATATCGTATGTCTTTAACGTATAACCTGATGGATTGATGGCCAGTTTATCACTATCAGAGTGATTGGGAAACAATATTTCTCAGAGAATCATGTTCCTTTCAGGTTGCAATGACATATGACACAAGGAAATAATTACCAATATATTCCACCCCAGAGATCTGCAAACTTACAATTTTGGCAATGTTGTAGGCCCACCATGATATGGCGCCTTTGCTGCTGTTCCTGAGGGACAGGATCCTGTAAGGGGCAATGAACATCAAGAAGCCACACGGCACCCACAGAAGGACGGTTCTCTGGAAACATTGTGTCAGGTCGGGGTCCGTTGTGTTCACCGAGACAGCAGGATCCTGAAATACAACATAACCATGAGCGTTTGTCCACATCACCATCACATGTTAAGGTCGCAGTGACATTGTTATCATGGCTGCCAAAGAATATATATGTTATTGACAGAGGTCTGCCTTATAGCTACTAGATGAGTGTATTATCAACCACCGGTGACACATTATAGTCATTCAGAGAGCCGATAAATGTATACCTCACAGCACCAGAAAAGAGGTGAAACATGCACAGCATTTCAATCAAAATGTTTGCTTATGACTTTAAGAAACCAGTCACAAATAGTAAGTAACTTATTATCAATAACACTTGGATGTAACAGAGTGTGTGAGTTGAGTTTTACGCCACACTCAGCAATATTCCAGCTATATGGCAGCGGTCTGTAAATAATTGAGTCTGGACCGGATATAACAGAACATAACATGGCAACAATGAGGGATATATTACAAGGTGCCCTTAAAGAATCTCCTCCACACCATGTATATGTAGAGGCTGAAAGCAAGCTCTGATAGATGTATCAAACATTTCTTCCCAAATGCTCTGCTTGTATAGCAAATCATCATTTAATCTGTGCTAAGACAAAACATTCAACATGACTTTCCCAAATCTGTTTGGTAAAGTATATTACATGTATGCAAAAATTGAAAACGTGTTTTTAGATCCCTCGTTTCCCTAAAACTGTTTTCTCTCTCAGCCAGTTCTAGCAGCATGAAACTGACAGTAACCAGTTCAAACAGGTTGTGTGTAATCAACTGCTCATCCAGTTTTTCAGAATTGTTTGACATTTGTCTGGTATCTAGTAAAGTCATGTGGAATGCAAAATGAGGCTGTTTGAATTGATAAATTTATCAAAACAGTAAATGAGAACCTACCATGGTTACAAGGAAGTGACATTTCTAAACTGGTAAGAACTATTTAAGTTCAAGGAATCAGTGGATGCTGTCGTTAACCCGACCATTTAATCTCCATCTGTACCAGGCTAAGGCTTCACTTGCAAAGACATGGAATCATTAAGATTCATGGAAATCAAGAGAAGCCTGCTCAGAACCTAGACTAACATCTAGTCTCTGAAATGAACATATTTTACAGAAATAATCATAAATATAATGAAAAGAGCCCAGAGACTTTCTACATTTTCAGAGACTAAACAAATTTGCAGAGTGATAATTTCTTGGAATTTCACAACATGTACAAAGATTCTTATCGCCCATTACTGTTGAAAGTATGAAAATCTAGACTTGCCACATATTCTAGACTTGCATGGGCTTTCTTGGACATATTTGTTTCAGGGACAAGCTGAGAAGATCATGCAATGGACCCCAAGACTTGTTGCTGAGTCCATTACACTTGAAAATAGACACATGCTGACAAATTTAAACAAATCAAAATCAGACTTTGTATTCACTGTCTAACATGAGCCTTCATCACAGTAAGCTGGAGCTGTTGGCATCAGGATCAAGTGATGAATATTTATAGGCATAAATTCCATACTGAACCAACCACATCACGACTATGATCACATGATGTATCAGGGCTCGATTTAGTGCTTTGTTACTTGCACTGATGCAAGCCAATATTACAAAGTGCAACGTAGTTATTAGTCTACCTTGCACCAGGTGCAGGTCAATGTTTGAGTGGGTAAACTTCTGAATAAAACATCTAAATAATTCAATAGCATATTCTATTCATTACATATTACCATAAAAGCAATGCAGCTGGAATTTGGCTGGTGCTAACTAGGTTTTTATCTCAGGTTGCACCTGGTGCAAGTAGGTTAACATCTCTTAAATCGAGCCCTGTGTATATATAAATATTCTGTTCTCCAACAATAGAAGCAATATGTTTCTCTCAGTCTACTGTATGAGTGTTAAAGTGGATAGTAATAACAGTAGGTAGTCTACAGTCCATGTCAATACAAATCTCTAATGGAATGTTCCAGCAATCACTGATCAGTCATGGATTCTTCAGGTATATTCACGCATGGTTTTGTTGCTACATGTATATTGCAGTAGCGGGGCTTGTAAATATATCTGTCAGTGGTACAAGATGATTGAAGTAATGATTGATTGGTTGGTTTGGTTGGTTGGATGGATGGATGGATGGATGGATGGATGTGGATGGATGGATGGATGGATGGATGGATACTGTTCTCTGGTTGTTGATATGATCATGACAACATTGGAAAAGTTTCGGGATGTGAGAGTGTCTTGAAGATGAAGGCTGGTTGTACGTATACAAAAGACACAAGAACAGCTAAAGACCATTTTGAGACTTCAGTGTTACATTCTTCCCAATTTGGGAACAATGAATTCTTGCCCGCCTCCAACATAATTCTGTATCCAAGACAGAGACAGGATTGTTTCATGACCTACGACAACTACACAATGCCAGACATTCATGGGTTCCCTAACCACTCTGAGATAGAAATGTAATTTTTCAGAAAGGCGCCATAGGGAACCAGACAGATCATTTAGGAGTTTCTTTTAAAACATTGTGAAGATAGATAGCACATAAACTAACCCAAAAAATTATGTTATGATCCAAAACAGGATTTCCTGTGAGACTGAGAGTAAATCTAAGACCACCAATAAACAGTTGGACGGGTGAAGAAGTAGGTTCTGAATCATTTGAGTTGGTGACGATAAGTATACCCATACCTTTGGATGATCGAGTTAAACTTAAAACATCGCAACAATCATGTCATTTCAATGTATTGTTTAATAAACAAAAAACATCATAAAATCCTGTAAACTTGAGAGATGGATTTCCTGAAAACTATTGAGAATATAAGAATAGTTCAGCTTCCTTTGTCCTGGACACATAAACTCACCCAAAAATTATGTTATGATCCAAAACAGGATTTCCTGTGAGACTGAGAGTACCACCAATAAACAGTTGGACGGGGTGAAGAAGTAGGTTCTGAATCATTTGAGTTGGTCACATTTATAACATTTTAAATTAAATGAATTGCTATGAATATTATTTCATAATTTTAGTTGTGTTGCCTGGCAACATTTAAAATATTTCTGTCATCTCAATATTTACCGTGGCATGCAAATGAAGCTGTATTGTGATTCCTGCTGCTGCTACGACATAACAACACAGTTTGTTAGTTATTGCTGCAGCCACTTGTGTGACACACTGTACTGCCTCTTTGTAAACCTAACACTGGGTGACTAAATACAATATATGTATATATTCATCTGTTTTAATCTAACACACCAATATCTGAGTTAATCTTCATGCTTGCATTGCAAATCAGTTCATAAATGTATATACATGAAACACATATGCTAAACACACATTACTCTAACTAACACGCATACATATCACTGCTACATCCATTACAATACAAGGCCAACTCCGTGGTGTACCTCGAACTTACAACAGTAGTCAGTGTTGGGTTTAACCAGAACAAATACATAAACAAAATACCATCATGCAGATGTTGATGGCAGTTTACAAAATACATCACAGCCATGCCCAGGTCAACAGTAACTGTTTATAAAATTAATCACTAATCACTTGCCACTGGAGATAGTTTAGATATAAAACATGCACAGCACTGAGTCAGGTATCTGTGTCGAGTGACGCTATCAATTCACCATAGTACCAAACCTTCAACAAATACCAATGAATTTAAAGCAAGTCACTCCCACAGACGTAAATATCTGAACACAGTACTGTGGGTATTGACATTCCTTTATACAGGATGGTCACAAACTGGATTGACTCAGCAAAAAATACCCCCTCGGAATGGTTAGTGGTATTCGTCACTAGTGCATAAGCTGGACACATTCTGGTCGTATTGCCGCTTTTGTTTACAATTGACTAACTGTAATCAAGAATACAACCGCTAACAGAATATACAACTGAACAGAGTTTACAAAGTATGTGACAGCTATTTTCATGATTGGTTCATGATTGTTGCATGGTTTCATGATCGTTTAATGGTTTCAGACGTTAAACCTTTATGACACAGCAGAGCTGACAGTTTAACACTGTCAAGGATGAATATTTCGACAAACTGTACGAGTTTCTTTACCATCTTTTGTATTTGAGTAATGAGACAACAACAAAGTGATATTATAAGAATCAATGAATGATTTTGTAAAAATCAAAAAATCAACTTGGATGGACAAAACACAACAATCTTGCAAGCACTTTCCTTGTGAGGTTGAATAGTACACAATGCAATAAACACAATACAATTTGGAAGCCAAGTACAAGCTGTCATGTGCAAGCCTCTTTTTTTAAACCTTAAGCTATTTGTATAACTATGCAGTCAAATATAAACACTTAAACACACTCTGTTGAGAATTTAAATCAAATACTTATTTTATAGTTTATTATAATTTTATTTCAGCCACAAGTTTAAACTTTGATGATTTATAATATCAATGACTTCCCCCTTGCATAACTGTACAATGAATATCTCCACTCTATGCAGAGCTCGGAGTTTGTTTCATGTAGCGGAGACAGACAGCATGGTCTGCCGAGAGATTATCGCTTATGAGCCATTATGTGTAGAGAAACCACTCTTCAGGTATATATTATTAACTTTATTCAAGAAATAACTTTAATAATATGGTCAATTAATAACAAGAACATTACATGTAAATTAATGTAGTTGTAGTGTTAGTTTTGGTTAGTTTTACACGGCCTTCTCAGTTTTCGTGCACTGCGATGTGCGAGGTAAACATTCATGTGAATTTGTTAGTTTCATATGAGTAAAGTAATTATCATTCATGTCAGAGCGGTGTTTGAGAAGAATCACTCAATATATTTTGTTAGTATTTTCACAAAGAGTTAATGTTGCATATTTTGTGAATAGAGCAGTGATAATGATGTCCCAGTGTCAGTGTGAAGGTATCATCAGTATTCAGCAATAGTGTGGCTGCATGGGCTACTAATGTCAAGTACATGACATAACTTGATAGTTTTATAACTTAAAGCATAATGTCATGTGAAATGTGAGGAATGTGTATTTTTAGCAATTCATTGTTAA